AACCAAAATCGCACGGTGCGTTCATTAGTAGACCCCTCTCCAAACCCCTTTTTTTAACCCCTATTATTAATTACTTTTAAAAATAAAATAATATCTCCATCTCTTACTCATGCGGTCTCCATGAAGAAAATATCCTATCTACCAATGATCTTATACCCGAGATATGTACGTTCATTATAATCAACGTTTGAAATCTGTCGCACAACCTTCATATACTTTTCAAAAAATCGCATGTCATTTGCGTTGACGAATATTACAGATGATTATGATTTTGTTGAACAGAATGAACATTTCGAAGTAGGTGCGAAGTAAAACACACTTTCATCATCATCATCATTTCAGCCGAAAGACGTCCACTGATGGGCCTTCCCTAAAGACCGCCACAAACAAGAAAATGTTTAATTAAATTTTTATAATAAATAGTTCTTTAGCAATTACAATGTTAGTATAATTATATTCGTTAATATGACTACCTATTTTTTACGATATATTACGATAATGCTCACATTACTGTTTGGCGGCAGAAATATGTAAGGTGGCAGTGCTTCCCTGAACGAATTTTCACAAAGAGCTCTAGTGCTGCTAAAACCTTATCCAAAGAGTTTTGTCTTACTAGATCCGTGCTAAAAAACATTTGCCTTTTTTTCTTTCTTCTTTCTTGGTTTTTCGCGATTAGTGATTACAAACCATTGAGTTTGCTTGGCTTACGTCAATAATATTTTAATACACAGTATAAATGAGTAATATATGCTCTGTTAGTGCGCCTTTAAATTAGACGCTTATAAAAGCTCCACAGTGGCGCTACTGTGGCGCTGCAGTCGTGACTTGCGCTCCAGTTTTTAATCTAGATATTGTATGAAAGTTAATAGTGGAGCGGCTTCCGCTCAAAAAAAGTCAAATTTGAAGGCACCCTTAAAGACAGAAGAGATTAGTCTTAAAGATAGAATGCCGAACAGAGTAACAAGATACCGTGTGTCGTATAGTGAAAGATATGTGGTCTTGTAGAAAGGTAGATGTTAGTAGATTTAAACGTGAGACGAGGTAAACATTCGATGCACATGCCTCGATTAAATTGGGGATGCCTTTAAAAAAGTCCAGGTTAAAAGTACAAAGAAAAATAAGGCACGTATGAAGAAACATGCGATTGAAGGAAGTAAAGTAGTTTTGTCAAGACTAGCTACTAGTGGAGGTTTATGATCTTTGCCTAACCCAGCGGGAGACAGGTGTGGTTGAATGTAGTACGCTCACCTGCTTATTAATTTAAGAGAATGATTATGTTTTGAAGTCAAAACGTTTGGTAAATTTTTTCAGCGTAACGAGATTAGAACCGTTTAATCTTCTTCTTATCGTATCAATCAATGATTGCTGTCGTGGCGAAAGGATTGTTGCCCAGGGTGCTCCCAACGTAGTGCTCGTAAAAGGAAGAAATGGAACGCCGTGCGGGAAGGTTCCTTTCGTGCACCCTCGATTGTGCATGTGCACAACCGTTTAATAAAAGTCTCGAATCTGAACTCAGTATCTGTTTATACGGATTATTAAGATTTACTGGTAAAAAAAGGACGATTGATTATTGCAAACAAAACACATTTACTGACAAAAAAAAAGCGCTGTTACTTGATTTAAGCATACCTAATCACTATGACAATGTGATTTCTCAGTGTTTGCAAGGATTAAGTGACTTTGTACGTACTTTTCCGTATTTAGTAAAAATGTGTTAACCACCCTTGATACGAATTAATAATTTTGTTGATATATCGAACTTTGCATAATTTTGCATAACTACTTACTCGTAAGTTTGATAACTTAAAAAAATCTTATACTGATCGTAATGTTTAAATCTCTAAATTTCATTACTTAAATAAATAATGACAAAAAGTTGCCAAATATCTTTAATGCTCAAATCGTAAAACTGTCATTTTGTGGGTTAACTCATTTATGCAGAACATGGCCCATAATAAAATGTTAGAGAAAAGAAAGAGAAAAGATTGTTTGATTCTGTTACAAAAGTCGTAGGTACGGTAGCAATCTCTTATAAAATATAAAATAAAATTTTCTTAACATAGAAAGTAAGGTTGAGATTTATAAAACGAATTTTGACTAGGACTGAACAAAAACTACGTGCTAAGCAAATATTTCGTGTACAAACTAGCTTTAAACAAGAAATGACGATAATGATTTATTACTAAAAATTACATAGTTCATTAAATGTTTTGCTAAAACTTACGCAAACTTCGTTTTGCAAAAACACGAAAACCTTGTTTAGTTCGAATACCATTTTTACTTAGTCAAAATCAAAGCTTGTGTCATAAATCTCAGTCTAAGAATTACCTACCGACAACAAATATTCAACTGAGATTCGATTACAGTAAGTAAGAACCAGGAATACATTTAGTCTCAACTGACACTGGAGCAGAGTCGAAGCCTCGCGACGCGTCATGTTTTTCGCCTATAGCATATTCATCTCTATTTTCTCAATATTTGGAAACTCGCGTCGACGCGCGACGTCGCTCGCATTCGCGCGTCGTCCAAGTCCAAGTTTATAATATATAGATAGATAGGTGCTTTTATTCCTCAAAAGAATACAAAAACAGTTTCATGATATGTATCCAAACGACGTGCACTTATTTCAATAACATTAAATGTTTTTTAAAGGTGTAGCAATAACATGTAACGCAACTTTTTGTTTGTTTCAGAACAATGTTGCACTACTGGCTACTCTTCGCACTTTCCTGGTTTGGTTACGTTAGTACTCAATATATTAATACGGACGGGCCGGTCGATGAAACTGTCCTAGAACCATTAGAAGGCACCTTGCGATCCTCCCTACAACATATTCAATTTTATAACTTGCCCGAGACCCAATTAGACGACGCGGCGTTTTACCCACAACAAGATGGCGAACAGAACTTCCAGAGAATAAGACGCACCGTGCTCACCGCAGACCAACAACGGAATAAAAAATTAAATGATGAAACTGCAGAGCCTCTTTGGCTACCAAACCTCGTAGACACTGACCAAACGACTTACCTACACAGTGACAGCAAGAGCCCTATTGTTTTACAGGAATTTGCAGGAACAATTGAGACAAACTCTTCGGATTCAATTATTCCAAATATTTTCACTGCAGTGGAAAAAAGAAGTTTTAGTCCCTGGGGCGGAAAGAGAGACGGCAAACCTATATTCGAACATATGTGGACTTGGCGACGTCCCAATTCCTTAAAAGAGCCTAGCATGCCGAAGAGTGCTAAAAGGGTGCGATTCAGCCCATGGGGTGGAAAGAGAAGTTCACCTCTAATATATAAACATGGCGCAAAAAACTCTAAAATTATACTATCCAACACACCCGAAATAACACGTTTCCTGTCAAAGTACTTACCGAATGGAAATAGAATCAGCTTGGCTGGCTTCGAAGTGCTTAAATCTTTGGATAAAAGACAACCGATTAGAGTACTGGCACTAACTACAAAAACTGATGACAACGGTAAGGGGGAAGCTCTGCCGTTTAATACTTTTTTTGAAACTTTACCAAAAATATTCAGACCTGGCCACCCATATGCTGACATCAACCTAAAGAAGGACGGAAAGAGGAAGATGAAGTTCAGTGCTTGGGGTGGAAAAAGAGCTCCACCGATCATCGGACCCATCTGGACACCCACGTCGCAACTCGACAAAGACTCGACATTAGATGCATTGCTATTGGTCAGAGACAGAAAGAAGATTTTAGCGGCAAAGGCACTGTAACTTGGAATACTGAAAAAATAATTTCGTAACTCCCGTAATACAGTATTTTGAATTCTATGTAGGAGTCACGACATGTGGCATTATTTTCAAGTAGCTGTAGCCTCACATAATATGTTATAGTTGTAAGTGCCATAAATTGTATAGCAATTATAAAAAAATACCTAAAAAATGTTATTTCGGGAGTTACAGTCTCTGACGAAAAGGCTGGGTTTCGTCAAAGACTAAACATTGAGATTTTGCACTAAGTCAACGTTGTTGTTAAGCTTTTATTGTTATATTATTAACGTGCAACTCTAGTAGCAAATAAACAGTAATAAGTTCAAGACTTACCTTTTTAATTACACTGTATATAGTAACATTTCACTTCATTTCCATATAATAATAGAAATGCAATATAAATAGACAGGAGATATGATAACTATATCATGTCACTAAATCTATAAAATGTCATTTATTGTCTACACGGGTATATGGGTAGATAGAACTGAATGGTGAACAAAGACAACATAATAAAGTCATTTTAAAGAATATGATTTATTGTAAGATGTACGTACATACTTGAGTTTATAACTAATAATAATAAATAGTATTGCAATGATAGACATACAAGACAGGTCAGATCAATACTCTTACCCGACGAGCGTGTATGAAAGCATTAATGTGTGTTGCCGAGGCGAGATATGTCAGGACCGTCGCAAGCGAAATGCGTTGGTCTCCGCCAACCCCGATGGGAAAAGGTATGAAAGGTACCTACGTATCTACATTTAAGTTAAGATATAAACATACAGTCTCAAGTCAAAAGTACAAGTACAAATACTTGTGCTTACAGCACAGATATAGATATAATAACCTACACATTAAAGTAGCTGTCCTAGTGGAAACGTAAAATTCTTAAGTTTCTAACCATTGACTTGTAAGTCAATGTTCCTAACTGAGAGAGTATATATTTCATAACCGACAAGAACACGACTTAAAACCTACCTAATTAAAGACATGACATAGAGGCTTGAAAGTGATTTTTATCAAACACTGGTTTAGAATAGCATGGTGTACTTATATAATAAATATCCTTTCAAATAAAACGCGCAATATTTCTAACGGGATTTATTATCCCTGTCCAAAACCGTATATATTATTATAATTATTAATGCGGAAACTCTTCAAATGCATATTAATTTCATACACTCCTTTAGAGGATTGTGAAGCCACCGTTTGTAAACAAAAAGTGAAACCGTTATTATACCACTGAACTATATATGATATAACTTTGATATTACGGATTACTAAGTTTATTTAATTATTAGATATTCATTACAGGTGTGTAGAATTTCCAAGCAGGGAAGACTGGAGAAACTAACAGTCTCGCCTGGAGAGACGGTAGCCTCCTTTGGTATACCGACCGGTGGAAAATGAGACCCAACGTAGGGGTTTGGTGTACACGACAGGCGACTCAGGCTCTCCTCTATCTTTTAGGACGAAATGTAGGCCATAATTGCTTGTGCGGATTTGAACCTGAAGAGAGGCTACGTTAACAAACACATTTAGAGAATTCAATGTATGTGAATGAGGCCTTTTTTGGTTGGTCCCGAACCTTTTATAGGGTAAGCATACAGCTTAGAAAAGCTCACTTTGCTGAAGTAGGGCACACGTCTTCAGACTAAGATTCTTGAGTATTCAAAGCCAACAAATGCCTTGCACAGTGCCTACATTGCTAAACACTGTAGAAAAGCTCTAGCAGTGGGCAGAAATGGCGTCAGAATGCTGACTAGAGCCTTAACATGGCACCGTGACTTGAACAAGCAATGTCACATATTGGGCAGAGAGGAAAACAGTGTAGATTCTGCCACGACACGGATGACACTCCTCTGCACCTCCTTACCCAATACCCAAAGCACGCTCATCAGTGGGCAGCTGATGGACGAAGCTCCATATTGGGAAGGTACAGGCCACAACCACAAGACATCAAAACAGTCGAAGCGAAGAAAATCCTCCAGTTCTAACATTGTAAATATTTTCCCTTGGGCAGATTGGTGGTCGGAATGGTCTAGCCAATGGGAACATTGTTCCATTCCAGTGTCCAGATCAGCTATAGTTGTGTTGGCCTTGGCTCCGATTTGTAATTAGTGGTGATCACAATAGATCAGTTAAAAGGTCGCAGTGATGAAGGGCGGCATAAGCCCTGGATGAAGACAATAGCAATAATAATAGGTTTGTAGAAACGAATACGCCAATTCACAAAACTTTGACGTAATTTCTCTCGTAAAAAAAATTACATAGGTATACTGAAGATGACCAAAATCGTCGAATCTTAAAAATTTGAAAGGGGTAAAACGTGTCCACCTTCTGAACAATAGTTTTATTTACGAATTATGAGGTACTGAACGCCGAATGCTGTAATTATCGTGTGATAAGAGACTAAGGGACACTCGTCACGTGATTGCATTAATAGCATCTGGGTAAGTAACATCGATACAAGTGGGATGGGAATGAAATTGATGTATAAGCAAAAAAAAGTTGTGACAAAATATTTTGTGTTGCAACCATTTCTTCTGCTTTCGTTTTGTTTTGATTTGCTCTCCTTAACGTTGTCCTTGTGGTATAGACGTAAGGGCATTGGCCTAAAACAATTTTGTCTACCAGTTGAGTGTTTCTAGAATTTCAGCGCGTGCTGTCCCGGTGCTCTTTCATTTCAAAATTATATTTTACAAACTGACTACGAAACTAAACGGCGAACTACCTTGCTCTACACACATAGCATAGTGCCTAACTTAAAATTATATTTAAATTTAAGAAACTAAAATATCAGTGTCAACTGGGATACAACTTGAGAGCAGAGCTGACATAAATTTTTGAAATAGAATAAATATTTTATGGCAAATAATTAAAATTTCATTTTTCTTTTCTAAACCTTCAAATTAGGGTTTAGGAAGTAGAAAGTTAATTACAATTTTTAGATGTCTTACATATATGAGTATTTGAAGTTATTGTAGACAATTGTACAGGATGTTCCGAAACTCAATGTCAAGCGGGCACCAGGCGAGGGGCCAGGTTATTTCAATTCTGTTAAAAATTAAAATATAAAATTCGACTCACTATATTTTTGAAAATGTTTAAAATAGACACCCTAGAAGACATCTTTGGGTAATGTCGTTACAATTTTTCAAATTTTGCAGTTCTTTATATTTGTTACGTAATCCTAAATAGTGAAATAAAATAGAAAAATACAAAATCCTATTTAAGATTATGTTAAAAAATAAATAACCGCAAAATTTGAATTTGTGATGACAGTACCTAAAGATGTGGCCTAGGGTATCGATTTTCAACATTTTCGAACATTTGCCTATTATCACTTAACTGACATGCATTTTTTATTTTATTTTTACCAGTACCGATATAACCAGGCCACTCGCCCGGTGATTGCTTGACATTGAGTTCTGGGATATCTGTATATTTCCACAATAAAGCACCCATTACAAATAATAGTTTAAATTGTCGGCTTACCGCCAGAACTCACTAACTGCAAAAAGTCTCATTAAATCAAATCATTGCAACCGTTGAATTCAGCGCATTCGATTCCCAAATTCCAAATTCACTATCTTCGTTCTTTCGCTTTCTTATTTTCGACTTTAAAACTGTAAAGTTACTTAAACATACTTTTGTAAAATTCATTATTTGTGTTATGAGGGTTCTCAGTTGTATTAAAATTAATACACGTATTTCATAACATATTCAGAAAACTATTATTGCCAAAGGTATTTTACAACATCAACAAAATCGCTAAGTGATATTTGTGAATTTTTGAAAAAATAAATTATTAGGAAATCAACTAATAATTAAATATTTACTAGGTTTCCAACTCAACAATATAGTTTAAGTAAGCCTGACTGTCCAAAACAGACGGAAGCAAAGTCCTCAAGGTAGGTAAGCGAGATTAAGCAGGTAGTACTGGTTTTGCCGCGTTAGTGCGCTATTGCCGCGCGAATTTGAAATGTTGTGTGCCTGTTTAAAAGTCATTAACTTTGGTTTTATTATAATACTTATAGTGGCTCAAAGTGGATAATTATTTTTTCGAATTTTAATAAAGAAACATTTTACTAACACTACAGCCACATGCCACAACCAGAGGACATTAAATCTGTCGGAGCCAAGAAAGTCCTTCAGTTTTTCAATGCTGCCTTGGCTCTGCACTATAATTAGTGGTGATCACAATAGATCCGTCAATGGTCAGTGATGAGGAAATGCATAGGCCCTGAATAAAGCCACCCTAATGATAATAATAATAACACTAGTGTCAATTGTACTCAAATAATCTAATAAAAACGTACTTTACACTAGTATACTTTTGTCTTTTAAATAAAATAGTGAAATTATGAGACTACATTGTAAAACTTTAACAATTTTTTTTTAAATCAATTTTGTTTCATTTAGTCAGATTTGGCAGTAAGCTGACGAAATATTTTTTCATACAATAATAAATGCAGTTTTTTATCCAAAATTCTTCAGTGGTGTTGTTTGCCAAGTGTAAATATGTCTTTTTAAAGAAATGAACAGTGGCCCAACCCAATGAAGTGGTAAACTAGCAGTCAATAATTTCATAGTACAATTAAGTAATAATAAATTATTTTAGTGTCGTTTGCTTTGTAAGTGAAATACCACTTGTAACTGGAAATTAACTGAAAATTTTATGAATTGTAGGCTTGCTTGCTTGACCTAGTGAAAACATGGTACCAAGATAATAAATATTTTCCAAAATACCTATTGAACTCTAGTGCTGGCACTTTACATTCCTCTTAATTAATACTTAAACAAATGTACATGTTCTCTTTTAATTTAGATAATGCAGGTTTTAATTTAAACAGTTCTAAGTATGATATGATAGCCTGATATTGTTTCTACTGGTTTGCTCAACTGTCCAACTTTTAATTTGAATGCTTCATCTTCAAACTCTTGCTGCATTTGACCACGGCAAAATGGCCCCAGATCTCCCTCTCGTCTTGCTGATGAGCAATCAGAGTATCTAGAAGCAACATCAACAAACGACACAATATTTGCCACAATCTGCTTGCGATAGGCTTTTATAGTTGCCAAGGCTTCCTCCCTACTTCTAGTGATTTCCTCTTCCCTCCATGAAGTAGGCCGCCGACTGTCAATGTGCTTGACTAATATATGACTGCAGCGAATTGAGGCCGGCTCAGCAGGTCGCTCTGGCCTCTCCCACTGAGACTTCTTCGTGAAGGTATTGAGAAAGTAAGTCATTCCAGTGGACCGGCTAGTTCGTAACTCCCATCCGTCAGGTAAAGGAAGTTGAATCTCCTTTTCTTGGTTTGTCATTCTGCAATGGTGTGGGAATCATGGATGTAAACGCAGGAAATAATAACAAATTTCATACGAAGACTTCAGCGTCTGTGTGGCGAATTCTAACTGATACTACACATTCTAAATCCTATTTAGAGCTGACATTATATTACGATGTCGTTGTTCACCATTATTTTTACGTGAAACCTAAGCGTGATATTCAAATACCCAGTGTTATTTGTTAAATTCAGTGACAATTCTAGTGCTATTTAGTAACTTGAATTAATATGTTACAATTCGATAAACAATAAGATACTTACATTACGTGGTAGCTTAACTCCCAAGCAAACTTTACGTACTACTTTAAAGACAAATCACTTGAACTGTCTAGGTAAAATTATTATTTCAATTAAACAAAACAAAGCACAAAACAGCGGGCGGCGACAGGAAGCGAAAGAATCATGTTTTTTAATTTGTGAACGAATCCATATACATACTTTTTTTTACTACCACCTAATATTTGTGCCACTGCTAAACAAAGAAGATAAAATTATTTTGTTATTTATAGACGTGTTATAATTTAGAAAACAAGGATTTAAAAGCTGGCTGGACCCAATTATAGTGAAGTGAATCAAGTCTTGACCTTTTAAACAGCCTTGATTGAAAAAACCAGGTCAATAATCCGCGACCATATTGAACTTTAGAAAGATAACCCATGATAACCATATTTTATAGTACGTTAAAGGACCATACGCCGATTCAACGTGTGAACGTTTAAGTACACATAGTTTTGATTGTATATATTTTTTTTTGTCTGTGATAATTTATCACTACTAGAGCATCTGCTAAAATATTAAAGATTATTGACATTTTAATTTAAAAAATTCGACATGTAGCAAAAATAGATATTCTTTACGTTGTTCGACTTGAGCTTTGCGCAAACGGGATTTTTTACATTTGTCGCACATTGTCTTGTCATCGTTTTAATTTTTGATAGACAAAAGGCACATTTCCTTCTGTTTGACTCAGGCAATTTCTTATCGCTAATCATTGACTTACAAATAAATGGACGACGGGTCTAATACAAAAACCACGAAAAAAATGTCCCAAGTCAACCTATTCGAAATTTAAATTGTAATGTCATCGCAGTATCGCGCTGTCAGTCGAACAAATGAAGACTAAAGCGGAGTTTGGCGCTCTGTATACGATTTTAGCGCCTTACAAGTGCGGACACTTTTTAGCGCGGACCCGACGTCCATATAATTGTAAGTCAATGTCGCTAATAGACCAATTGAGACTGAAATTCACCACGACGCCGCCCGGCCGCCCTAGCTTGCGCCAGGGCTCCCGCGCCAACGGAGGGGCAGGTCAGTTGTCCTCCGACCCGCCCCCCAGACGAGTGAGGCGGTGCAATACAGGCTCCGGAGTCCCTGTCCAGGGCCCGCTGGCCTCACTAGGTGATCAGGCGAGCAGCGAACTGCCTTCGCCTTCTTCCCGTAAGTCTGCGCCGAAGCGGGTGCGCGTCCGCCGCGTAATCGCGCACCCGCTCCCCGCCATTGTAGCCTAATAGTTTGACCTACTGCCACTCAAGCAGAGACCGTGGATTCTAATCCACGAGTTTTTCTGAATTTATATGCAAAAATTTTATTTGAAATTTATATTTAGCGTTTCGGTGAAGGAAAATATCGTGATGAAACCTCCACGTCGAAGAAGGATCACAACTTTCGGGAAACGTGTGAAGTCCCCACCTCGCCTTGGACCAACGTGGCAGACTGTTTGTTGGGGTCTGCTGTCTGATTGGGTCGGGGTGGATTAAAACCCTCGCCTAAGAAGAGACCCGTGCACACGTACAAATAGCGAATTTAGCCCTTTGATCTTCGATGTCACTTTGTACGTCGTCATGTAAAATATCATCATCTCTTTCACTATCCGACCATTCGACCTCTTCGTAACTCAATGCTTGTAGTAACCGGGATATTTCTGCATCTTTTACAAAACCTAATCACGTCATTTTGTTGTAATAACATAGCCTGTAAAAAAATTATAATTTGTAATTAAAAATATATAATATTTATTCGCACATAAATCACGAAAACCTATTGACTACACGATAACACTAAAGTCAAAAACTACCGCAAAAGATAACCATACATCACTTCGACGTATGGTAGGTATATTATTTAGATAAGTAGAGTCTCACACACAGCGACACCAGTGTCTTCTGCAAGCTGTGTGGTTGACTGAGTTGGCAGGAACGGCGAGTGCACTGATGCTTAATACGAAGGAATTATACCGATTTTTCAAAATCGAATACGTCGTTTCGATGTAGGTTATCTTTTTAGGATTAAGCGACTAGAATCGTTTTCTCATTTAATGCTAATTTAGCTCAAATTGTACTCGATTAAAAACGTTTTATATTTTTGCGATGATACAACAAGTGCATGTATATTTACTAACTAAATATCCAAAAAGTAAAGCCGTATCCTTTACAATTATAATAAAATAACTTTATTTTTCCATTACCCCCGTTACAAAAATTCCAACGTCTTAGTATCATTGTAATTTTTTCTCAAATTAATTAAATAGAACTTTGGTTAATTGTATAATCAAGAGCATAATTAATTAATTGTTAAAGTTAACGCTCTGCTACCCTGTTAACATTATTTTATAGTTGAAACGCAACGTCACGATACGAAAAACGTTTGCCTTAGCAATGGCGGGCATAGTGCTGAGGCTCCAAAGATGCTCTCAACACTAATAATAAAAATAACAAAATATAACCAGTATGACTTAATATTGACTACGACGTTGTCTTTTGACTTTTTGACTGTAACTTTTTACTCATTACCACTTAGAGGATTGAAAAAAATAAGAGTTTCCATAGTCTAAGCATTACCATCACGTGAAATAATAACAAACAGTTTTCGATTATGAGTCCCTAAAATGCGTAACCCCCAACAGTGTAATGCCCGACATAGTAATCCGTGACACGGAAATGTCCACCCCATCAATTGGCGACATGAGAATCCAATGCGTACTGCTATAATGGTCGTGAATTATGGGCCGGGTGGCTAAGATCAAACTCGGACAGAACGTTATCATGGTAGTACAATATTGACGTTTATAGCCAGCCATAAACAACATCGGTAATGTAGCTATTTTTTTTACAGAATGTAGCACGTAGCACCAAAGCTACCTTCATAAACTGCTACGATATCAGAGAATATTCAATGTGGGACTAGTACTCTGTGTGCCAAACTATAAGAGAAAAAAAGAGAAAGATAATAAAAAAAATTACGCCGCCGCCCATACGCTAGCCCGCTACTACCATTTTTGTAGAATTGAACAGTTTCGTGTCAGGTTATTGAGAAATTGCGGCACACCTCTCAAGATGTTAAATCAAGCAAAGACGGAAGCACAGCTTTCGGCAAACTACGTTGGAAATTACTTGGATTGCGTAGAGGACTTACCGAACGATTTGCAGAGGCATTTGTCTCGTTTGCGGGAGCTTGACGTATCTTACAGAGGTAAATGTACTACCATAAACCATCCCTTTAATCAATAACACTAACACAAGACCCCTGATTTAGATAACAATATAATTTGACGACCTCAGTGGCCCAATGGTTTGCACTTTAAGCTCTGGATGAGGAAGTTCAGGGTTCGATTCCCGGTAAAAAAATCTATGGGCAATTAATTATGGGTTCTGATGTGGGTGTAGTGCCCTAGAGTAAACAATCGTCCTAGTCCTGATATTTATCAGATAGTACACGAATAATGGGAGGCCTACTCATCTGTCATGCTGTTGTATAAACCTACACACACATTTTACATTACACCACAGCAACATATTATTATAATAAACACTTTAAATATATCCTTGTAGTAGAAAACCGAGCATATTTTTTTATTGTTCAAAGAATACCTCAATATTTGAAAAGATCTTGAATGCACATTTTTTTCAAGTCAAATGAATTTAATGAAACACAATTTATGTCATGATGTTGACAGGATGTTGGCACTGAAAATTAATCCAGTGTGGTTGTCATAATACAAATCTGCATCATACCTTTCTGAAAATATCCACTGTGTAGCTTAATTACATAAGTGGGAATTTGTGAAATATGTCCATATTATATCTACTTCTGTTTTCCTGTAAGTACGTTTTAGTTCATTATTTAAACAAAAGCGCATTGAAACTAGTTTTACACAATATTTAATAGCTAAATCATATACTTTATATTTGATTATTTTCTAATAAAGTGCTTTACTGGGTACATATTTGTAATCATATTAAATCTATAATACCAACTCAAAAACAAATCTGAAGTCTGAGTTTATGGCTGAGGAAGACCTGTGGTTACAACATATTAAAAGAGTGTTATTATTATTATAATTTTAACATTTTTAATTCAGAGTAGAAAACTACATTGAAGTTTTATTTATTACTTTCTTTGTTTTTAGCATTCACCATGTACACTAGAGATCAAACATAATACACATGTACTCTACATTGTGGATTATTGATATATTTTTATTTAAATACTTAGATGTTGCTTATGTTGGACCACCAGAATGCGTCCGAGATGTCCAAGCCCAGTTCCTGCTGTGTGGTGGAGCCAACCCTCATGAATATACGCTTTCGAGAGCTTCTGTACATCTACAAGCTATTCTGTTGCGTGCTCAAGAAATTGGAGATGAGAAACTTCAAGAGGTTCAAATGATCCAAGATCTTATTGATAATAAACAAAGATCTTTGGATACTGACCATAAAAAGCTTAGTGAGTACTTGAATAATCCTGAAGAGAGCGAGGATGATGAATCTGCAGATGTTAGTCTCTCATTGAAGTCTGAGAAAGATGAGGTCTCATCATCTGATGATTTATCTCCGAATGATGTGGAACTGTCTTCTGGTGAAGAAGTCTCTCAAGATGAAGGAGAACTATCTTCAGATGATGTTGAGATGTCATGGTCGAAAGACAGTGATGATGAAGTAATGTCTGACGATGATGACTCAGCCATGTCTGAAAATGCTGAAATTTCTGATGGTTTGGATGATTTCATTTCTTCAACAGAAAAATCTGAAGGAACACACTTGTCTGGCGAAACATTTAACACGTCTGATTAAACAGAAATTTCAGACAACACTTCGGATTAAATAAAACAAGTATACATTGAATCATTATTTATTATGCTCTTATCACTACAACATATATGTAGTTAGATTAGTTTTAAAAATAAAAAACCAAAACTCATTTAAAAAAAATTTTTATTCCATCATTATATGTAGATTAATTATTTTTCATTTAACACTTTGATAAATTTTGAATTATTATTGTTATTATTAGTATTTTATAGTAGAGTGGACAAAATTTATCATGGTGCTGTTTCTTTATTGTTTTTTAACCCCTGTTTAATTTTGTTCTTAATTTCATGTTACTTTCTTTTCTTAGTATCTTGCCTTGAAGTTTATACGAATGGGAATGCAAAAAAAGAGCCCACACCACCATCAGACACAATCAATGAAAAAGATTCGGGCTCCCCACAGATCCGTGAGCACCATGTACCTACACCTCCGACAGAGAGGACTGTGGAAAAAGAAAAAGACAAGGGTGAACAAGATAAACCAGGAGGTTAGTAAGACGCAAAAAACCAATTAGATTATTTCATTTCACTTTATTTCGTAATTTTTGTGGCTACGTCATTACTAACTTTCAATATTTTCGCTGTTTCATGAAATGGTCGGCAAATTTCATATTACCGTTATTCAATCACTAACAAACTTGTTCTGTTCATATTCTGTACTTCATTGAAAATCAATAATTTAATCCTATACATATTATGAACTCAAAGCGATAAAAAGGTAACATACAAATTCAAACTTTTCATATAAATCTTATTGATTGACCTCACACTGATATACACATTAGCGATGGACGTCAGTTACTAAAAGTAATCGAATTATTCGATTATTGATATCAATTAGTTATTAATTGTTACTACACTTCACTTTTTGATTGTTCATCAAATATCGACTGTGAATCGAAATAGTGACTAATCTACTAGTTACTAATTTTTATTGTTGATCAAATATTGTAATAGTACTTACTTGGTACTTGGTGTAACGGGCTGGTGTCCGCAACATTGTAATTGTAATAGGATTAATTGTTATTCAATTAGTAATAGGATCGATTGGTACTAAATAAGTAACAGGACAGATTTTTTTATTTTTTTCCATACTATGGTAGGGAAAAAGTGTTTCAAAAGACAGAGTTTATATACACACTGAAAATTTAATTAATAACTCTATTAATTATATAAATCGAATGATTCGAATATTTTTCGGTAAACACGACTAAATCGTAAATCGACTATAGGATAGTGCAACAATCGCTAGTACATATACGCGCTACGTAGCTGTGTATGTGGACGCCGCCGCGCAACAGGTGTGTCCGCGCACTTTGCACTTGCAACTGCGCTTTACAAAGTTAACGGAAAATCAATCGGCCCATTCGTAGCCGCAGTATCCAGCGAATCGGTCTCATTCGGACAGCGGCCGAAGCGGAAGTGCAATCAGATTCTCTTTTAGTTCCTTTTACTTTTTCTAGTGCTTTAATTGGCCTGATGCATCTTGAAGTCGGAATCGCGTATGTTGTACTAAAAGTCCCGCAAACAAACATGGAGTGGCTGAAGCTGTTGTTATACTACCGTAAGGATAACTTTTTGTTCAAAATGTGACGATAGTAATCGTAGAAATCGACTCATCCATCCGTACAACAAAGGCCTATATATAAGACTGCTTATTCTCAGAACATTGTACATTTCGTTCGTTGTTCTTCGCTATGTGCGTCCGGTCGACTATTGTTCGATTTTATATTTCCGAAACGAAATAAGATATACAAATTCTGAAGACATCTATCCATTGGCCTTATTTTGAATAACGAGATTATGTATTTATCATAATATTTTCTGTATAATCACATCAGACTCTGTTCTTCGGATGAGTCGAAATATTATCATAACAACAAAAAAAATAACTAATGTCTTTTTTCATGTCTAATATATTTCAATAAGATTTATATCATTTGAGTGATGCTGTGTACGTTATTTTTTTGAAATGTACCTTTAATGTAATGTACGTTTCCAACGTAGGCTGACACACGACACCATTAATGGCCATAGTAATATTAGATTGGACTAGACCTCTTTAGACTGGTAGTCTAGAACGAGTTGTGTGATAGTTCATGTGTATTTTGGTTATAGAAATTATTCGATTTGCAATAACATTACAACAGTTTTCATGAATTTTTCAACAATAATACTAAATTAATTACTTATAAAACAGATAGGTACCCAAAACTTTGTTCCCACGATCAATTAATAAATTCGCTACGTGTTATCTATGCACATCTATAATATTATGATTGTAAAATACAATTGCACTACAAACACTATATTTGTTAATTCACTTATCATATATATAACTACCTCCGTGGCCGAACGGTTACCATACCGGACTGCCACGCAGAGGTCCCCGGGTTCGATTCCCGGGCCGGGAGAAATATTTGTATGGTCTACATTTATTTCTCTCGTGAGTTTGGGTGTAATTTGTGGTTGTCTATGTGTGTGTCCATGGTACCCGCGACACAGGGTTTCCCTAGTGCGGGGCTATGTTGAGTGTGTGCGTTATTATTATTATTATATTATTAATATAAAGACACAATATTTTATATATTACCAACTTACGTACACATCGCGTGGTACTGTCAAGAGCATGTCAAACATGACACTTTGTATTAATTTTTGGACCCTTCTTATCGTAAGCGGTATAGAGTTGGATTTAAATCTTAAGTGTCAAGCTTGACTTGCTCTTGACCCTGTAAATTGTATCATAAAGCTATTCACAATATTTTAATTAATTTAAAAATGCTTCTATCCATGCTTGGCGGTTTCTAACATGAAGAATGGCAAAATAATACATTTGAGTTACAGTATTCTTTTAATTGGGACGTTATGGGGAAATCAGAAACTATAGGAAATACAGGGAAACTGTCTTAGCAACCATTAAATCTTTTTTTTAAAACAACCATTTTGGCATAGTCAATTTTTGGTCAAGCGTGAATTGTGCCTAAACAAGAATAAATTTGATTTTCTTATTGCTGATCGACTCACTTTCATACAAGGATCATTTCAATGTATTGAAAGAAAGAATTGAGACAGCAGAAGTTGGTAAATTTTAATGTTTTTTAATACAAAATAAGACAGGTTTGCTGTATCTCCTATGTTTTCGGATTTTCGGAAAAAACACACTGTACTATACATACTTACTATATAGTAGCAGTATTGTTTCAGTATGTGTACTTTAAAAAAAAGTGTATAATTGGGACAGTAATTTGTATGTTCTGGTACCCAGGCGAGCGATGGTCGAAGCGGACCCGGGGGACGCGCAACAAAACCAGCACCATCACAGATGGCGCTGAGAGCAGCGAGCGAGATATTTGTCGACATGTTCCCAATAGCAGCCACAAAAAATGTATGTTTTTTATTCATATGTACCATGATGGTATTTGTGTACTTCTGTGTTTGGACGTAGTTAAACAAAAACAAAAAAAGCACATCCACTCACTTTCGATATATGGCAGTTTCAAGTTTAAAAGTGTATCTCACTCTTGTTTTATTTTCTAAACTTATAATGTTATGTAACTCCAGAGATATTTATATGTTGATTTTTTTTGATGATCTAAGGGCGCGTTCTCACTATGTCGTGACGACAGATTGTCGTGCAGTTTACAGTGTCGTGGCTTGTATATTTAAATGAAGTTGTTCACATATAGCACGATACGATTGTCTGTCGTTCACGATTTTTTATCGTTACAACGACAAACTGTCGTCACAGTGGGAAAAGCTAGAACGACAGTCGTCAGACGATAAAAAAACGTCGTCACGTTTTTATCGTGGCGGTTTTTTTCGCAGCTCCTATTGTCGTCATGATCTAGTGGGAACAGCTAGTCACGACAGTCGTTCAACTATAAAAAAATCGGCCACGACAGATAGTCGTGATATGGGAACAGGCTAGACACGACAGTCGTCCAACGATAATAAAACGTGACGACATAGTGGGAACGCGCCCTAAGAGGTTAGACTTTAGGAACCGTTTGGTACATATAACTCATTTTTTGATAATTTTGTGGATTGGATCCTTCTTGCTTAACTACGTCCAATTGCGCTTGTGCTGCCTTAACGATAAAGCGGCTATGAGGCATGTGTTTATGTTCTTTAAATTTCAGTGTGTATTTCAATTTGCTTAAAATTTAAACGCTTATCGAGTTCTTAGGTTTGCGAGGTTGCTACACATTGGAAAGAAAGAATATTTTCAGATCTAAATCATATATATTTGTTTCTTCATACAAACCAGCGTTTCGGACTCTTTACACTTAGGACTTGCGCGAGAGCGACATATGGCGCGAAATCCTCCTATTTTCGCAAAGAATCGGTATTGTCGCTCTCGCGCAAGTCACGTCCTGTCGTGTTAATCCTACTGTAAAGAGCCCGAAACGTTGATTTGTATGAAAAAACAAATATAAGCTATTTTATACGAAAAAAAAACAGTTTCATTTAAACACTTGTTTATTATGGTACGTTTTAGGCACCTCTATATAATTAGCATATTCTATGCCCCTGTTGGTTGCCGAAAGACATTTTGCCGTGATTATCGCCGGCTTTAACTTCGAACATGCCGCCGCCCACACTTTGTGACGGTTTCTTAAATATCTTGAGTATTTATAACAGTGGTTTCTAATAGACTCAAGTACCTACCACTTCTCTTGAAATAGATATTGAATATCACAATTTCCGTTTTGTATACCTTTTCTCACACTTAACAGGCGTTGGCAAGAAGAAGAAACCTAAAGCGCATCAAGTGGCGCAGCGCTTGGAGACGCCGTCTGAGGAGGTGGACGCAATCGACCCAGACGAACCACGCTACTGTCTCTGCGACCAGATCTCATTCGGCGCGATGATCCTTTGCGACAACCACCTCTGCCCCATAGAATGGTTCCACTTCTCCTGCGTCTCCCTCACCACCAAACCCAAAGGAAAATGGTTTTGCCCCAAATGTCGCGGCGACAGGCCCAACGTAAGGAAGCCGAAAAACCAATTTCTTAAGGAGCTCGAGAGATACAATAAGGAGAAAGAAGAAAAAGCATGATGTTACGAAAACGGAGGTTGTTACGTTTGTGTAGACAGGTAGTTATTATTTGAGTTAAAAGACAATTAGTTTTTGTTCGACAAACTTAATTGTAGTTAGGAAACTTTAAGTAATACTGTGAATTGATTTCGATTGTAATTTGTGATTTAACGATCCTTGTATAATGTGACAACGTTTGAAGTCTTAGTCCATCGCACCTTTAGAACGAAAGTGACCCAACACAAAATTCCAAAGTTTTGAAGTTGTGGCATTTTCAATTTATTACTCTTGAAGTACTAAAGGTAAAAATAATAACATTGAAAATGTAGCCTTAATGAGTCAGTTTCAAATAAACAACCTTATGAACAATTATTTTTAGAGTCGTTTTACATTATAAACAATTTTTTTTAATTAGGTCGCTTTCATTCTAAAGTTGAGATACATTAATTAGGTCAATGTTGAGATATTATAAGTTGTCATCATTATATTTGGGGTCTTAAATATATTTGAGCGTTCTGATGTTTTAAATTTTAAAATGTTTTATAAACAGATCCCAGGGAATAAGACCAGGCCTATAGGCTATAATTATTATAATGTATTATGTACTTGTCTTACTTCAAGTTATGATATGTGTTTTTTAAATTAATTGGTACTTGGTGCAACGGGCTGGTATCGGCAACTCGACGACAAAGCGCCTATTTTGCGTGTGGTTTTTTAAATTATTAATATTGTTTCTACACACATCAACAGAATCTGAGGATATTTTATATTTCATCAAATATCAAAAAATTTATGAAGAATTTTCTAATACAGTAAATGGAAGAATGGTAGGTGATTTTCAGATCTTTAATAAATAATAAAAACATTTGGTGATTTTTTGTTTTTAACAAAAATATATTTTTTTTAATAGCCGTAGAAAATTAGTATGGTACAAAAACTTCATTTCTTCTTATAAAACTATTAATTTTTAAAATTAAAATTGAAAAAATCTTATAAAATCTAATTATTAATAATCAGTGTTACCACCTCTTTAATTACACATTAACATCGATTGTTCATACTTCAAAATTAAATTGTCAATATCTTGCAGCGGCACGAGGTCCCATGTTCTTTGCCAAGTGTTCATAAAGTTGTTGTACCATCGTCAAATTTGGCGGGAAATCTCTCAAGACCTTTCGTTGTAACATATCCCAGGCATGCTCGATAGGATTTAAATCGGGCGACTGTGCAGGCCAATCCAAAACTTGAATATCGTTGTCTCGTAGAGCGGCCGACACCAGACGCGCCGTATGGGAAGGAGCATTATCGTGCATGAGTAGAAATCCTGGCCCATTTGGATTCTGTGTGGGACAATAACAGGCTCTACTACCTCCTCGTGGTATTTTTGTGCAGTTATGCTGCCTTGGATCCAAACGCTGAGTTGACACACCATGATTGTCCCGCCTCGGTATGAGTGAACCTCCTGTTTTTCGTAAATCCGGATGAAATCCAAACCGGAACTCATCGGTAAACAGCACCGAATACCATTGTTCGTCACTCCACGGTAAACACTCCCGAGCCCACGAAAGCGTCACGTAAGTCACGTCGCAATGCTGGAACACGTAGCGGTCTTCGAGCATGAAGACCAACTTCATGCAACCTCCTCCACACGGTTTGTTCGCTTACCAGCAGCTGGTAATTTTCCTGGAGCGTTTGTGCTAATTGCATCGCTGTGATATTAGGTTGTCTTCTGGCGGTAATTTGGAGAAATCGATCCTGTCTCTGCGTACTTGGTGTAACGGGCGTAGTAACACGATATCTAACCGTGTGCCATTCAGCCACATCCCCACTACTGCGATAACGGGACCACAACCTTGATATCACGTTTTGGCTGGTGTGTAGGGCCTCAGCAATGACGCGTTGAAAAGCACCACTGTCTAACATGCCCACGACTCGTTTCATCACACAACATAACATTTCATCTCGACTCAAATGAAGACGTGTCATGACTCTTTTCCTTGTCGTAATGGGAGTAGTAGTAGTAAAATGTTTCGTCCTCCGGGAGAGGGTAAGGCGTCTAGCCCATAGATATGTCTACCAAATGTCTGTCATACTGCCAAATCTTAGATTTCAATTTTTCTTCAACTTTTCATTTTATTAAGGCGAAGTCAAACCTTCAGTACGAAATTTAAATTTAAGGCAAATTTCTTGAGTTAACTTCTCGTGTTTTTGTTGGTAGTAATAGTCATTGTAATTTTGGAGTTGCAAGGTAAGTCCGAGTGTTTTCTTTAAGTCAGAGCTCTCCAAGGGTTGAGTTAATAAAATCATATATCGTCGCTATACTACGAAAACCAATTATCTGGAATTTACACAGAAAATTACTTAATTTAGGATAACGCGACAAAATTGCTGTAAAATGCAAACATTTTCAAATTTCAGTAAAACATAAAATGTAGAATCACCGTTACAAATTAACGTGGGATGATATTTGTGAAAATAAAACAATTTTTGACACAGTGAAATTTTAATTGCATTTATTTCAAAGTCGATATTTTGTGAAATAATTGTTTTTCCCAGTATAACAGCGAATTATACGTATGAAATTTTCAGGGCAAGCTAAAATGTCCTGCAGTGAAGGCGGGATCGTCAGATATTTTTCCAAGTACCGGTTTATGAGAAGCAGTCGCTGCTGTCGTAACGTATTTTGTTTCTTTATTTACATTTTTAAATTTTGAAAATAGAATAAAAGAGGTTTCATTCTGTATATAAACATTTTTATGGAAACTAAAAGGATTTTAAACAATAAAGTCGTAAATAATTTAGGATTAGGGTACCCCTAGATTCTGCTGATGTGTGTACATTGAGACCAAACACTTAATAAGTGCAAGATGTAAGTTGCAATATTGTGAAATGGACTTTTATCGACCTGAAATGTCCCAAAGTAAACTTTTTTGTTATTTTCTTTGCTTAAAACCATGATTCCAAACGCAACGTAACTAAACGTTTCACGTTAAACCAACAGCTGTGCGCCTCGACTACATCCAATTTTTAGTGTAAAAATCACACGTATTGACAAAGATCTTTTTAATAAAATCTAAATGATATTGAATGTTTGTATTTTGGTTATTTTTAGATGCTGATTTGCAATTATTATCTCTTCCGCGAATGTATATTTCCTCTGCGAACATGTTTGTGCATTGTGCGGTCATTGCGGTATTAGATATACCTCCATCCTACAATGTGTAAAAATATTGTAGCAAAACCATGTCCGATACAATTGAGTGCTGCCAATATTCTAAGGGTCGTATTCCAGAACTCTACTCAATGCTCAAGTCAGGATTTGAGCAGACTTGAGTATGATTTCAAGCATTGGAAATACGACCCTAATGGCAAGGACTTGAGTATGATTTTCAGTGCTCACTGCAATACTCATGTCCAGACTTGAGTATTGAGTAGAGTTCTGAAATACGACCCCCCCTAAGATTCTGTCCAATAAACAAATTCACTTTGAACAAATGCAACATGGAACTTGAGCCTTTGTACATTACAAGCCAATATCATTCAACATCAGTATATTCATGTGGTGTAAATACAACTAAAATATTGATAATTTTTTAAATATATTTTACACCAAATATGATTACTTGAAACCATATCTTTTCAAGAATATTTTTCGATATGTATATCTTCACTCTCTACTCTGCACCTCGTGCCAAAATTATATTATTATATTGAGGGCCCAGAGTCCATTCTCTACTATGTAAATTTTATCGAGAACAAATTGCAAACTAAACTTGTAGCCAATTGTGGCATCTAACTAGTCAGTTTTTTTATTTGATAGTTTATTTCTTCACTGAAAAATGCTCATTATACACTTTTTAAGTGGAATCGTATTAAACCGCTTATTATAAAATATGTTACCAGTAGGTAAGGGAGTCACCACACTTTTTAAGTGGAATCGTATTAAACCGCTTATTATAAAATATGTTATCTGTAAGGGAGTCACCACACTTATTAAAGTGGAATCGCATTAAGCCGATCAGAAAAAGATGTACGTCCACGTAATAAGATCAAAAATGACGTCGCGAATTTCGCTTCCGCTCGGACTGTCGTTGCGAAAGACATAAAGCTTTTTCTGACCGGCTTAATGCGTATCAATAAGTATGGTGACTCCCTCATGTGTGCGTAAGTAGTAAGTAAGTAATGTGAATGTTTACCTGTTAGCATGCAATGAAATCACGTTAATTTAATTCATTCATTTGTTTCTTAAATATGAAAGATTCAAATAATTAGTTTTGTTTATTAATTATTGTAGTATTTCTCAGTCAAAGTATTCAAACTATTACTTGGTTTGTCCGGGGACGACGTAACGTGATCTAAGGCGACGATGTGTAGCAACGTGACAGACTGTGATTGGGCATTACCATAATATGTAATTAGTGTATATTGTTTATGATCGAACGCAAATTGATGTACACAGATTGTGACTGCGATCGAGTATGACTGGGTACAACCAATTATTAATTAGAAAAGTCGCAGTAAGCTAACTAGTAAACATGTATATTTATATTTGTCGTGTCTATTATAAGTAGGGCATCGAAACCAGGATTAATTTTGAAAACCCGGGTTTTCGGGTCATAGTATAGTCAAAACCCGAGTAGATCGGGTTTTTCGAGCTTTTCGATCTTTTTGTTAATATAAAAAAAAGAAACTGTTCCTATACTGATTTTCTACAATGGAACAAAGGATGAGGGGAGGAAGGATTATCATAAATGAAACAGGACTTTCCAAATTACAAGACATAATAAAGTCTTAAAGAAATCTTTTTCCTCAGAATATATTTGTACTAATCTAGTAATGTAGGCTTACGTTAATCACAGGCTTCCAGAGATAAATTTTAACATTAATTAAATCATTTTGGTATCAATCAGTTATTGCACTTAAAAGCTAATAATATCATCAAAAAACATATTTTTAGTATCACAAATCGCGCGGGCGGAGCGACAAAACAAAATGGCTTGAGAAAGCGCGTTCGATTTTACGCATTGCTTGTTTTCTTGGTTGTTTGGTAGGGAAGAAACGTAGCAACTACGCTTCTTTACACGTAATTATATATCTAAGCGTGTTTTTATTACATTTATGTATTCGAAGTGGTTTATACATAATAGATGACAAAAAAAATTAAGTAAAATACTCGAAAAACCCGGGATTATAAAATCAAACCCGGGTTTCTTTGTAACCATCAGAACCGGGAAAACCCCGGCTTTTCGCGGACCGGGTAAACACGGACTCGATGCCCTAATTATAAGTAAATCTTTAATATTAAGCTGGTGTCCGAATTAAGTATAAGTTATCCTAAATCGTAACCCAATCTTTTATTGGTTTTTTATCTAAATGTATTTTATTACTTCTAAAAGTACATTGAAACTGTGTCAATGAAAAAATATACATGATGTGTAACTTCAACTTTCATTAATATGCGTGTTATACTTTGCATATAAAGGCCCCATTCACTAGTGAACATGCTAGTCCTCTTATTCAACATTCGAACTATGACTGCTAATGTTTAGTAGCAGTAGAGCTCCTTGTGAAAGAATTCGTCCAGGGAAGTACTGCCACCTTAACTATTTCTGCCACTAAGCAGTAATGTGAGCATTATTGCGTTCCGGTTGGAAGGGTAGGCCTCGCAGGCACTCGCATGCACTTGGTACGTGTTAGTAATAAGTTACATTACAGGCGAATGCTCGGTTCTCCTCCCTCATCGCTGTAATGCTCGCTTTTGAACTGTTACATTACAAGCGAATGCTCGCGGTGAAAATGTGGCGAAGAAGCGCCTTCTTTTACGAATGGTTGAAGTGCCCTATATTATGTTGGTAAGATTTTTTTTATTTCATTAAAATGTACAGTCGCAAAATATAATTGTTTTTGTCATTGACCTACCAATAAATGGACATCGGGTTCGCGCTTAAAAGTGTCCGCATCTATAGGGCGTTAAAATCACATACAGAGCGTCAATCGCGCAACAGTCTTCGTTTGTTCGACTGTCAGCGCGGTTGTCAATCATGCAGTACCATATAATAATAACTTGTAAAAATTATTGCAGTAAAGTGTAAAAACAGGGTTATGTATCATATTTTCACTAAACAAATATATTGTGTTATCATAGTTCTCATTTAAAAATGTGTACAGTTTTAAAGTATGTAATGTATATATAAAATTAATCGTAAATATAAATTACAAAAGCACACAAAATAATCAAATAGCTAACTGTCCTTTTTCTGCACATTGCATGCGCAAAAGATGGAAAGAGACCCATTGTGTCAATTTCAAGAAGCTTGTATATAAACTTCTTGGTCATTTTCAATTGCTCGAACCACAAGCGATTGAAATATTTAGAACAAAGAAAGTATAGAGTCGCTTTGATTTTAATCTTATTTTGAAAATGATTTTTAATTAAACGTTAACAATAACTAACAAAATATTGTACTCGTTTCACGACTTGGGATTACCTATTAGAAGTCAGAAAATACATTTGCCCGAAATAACGTTAGCTCGATTTTTCATAATGTCAAATGTCTTTTTTTAGAAAGATTACAAAATAAAAACTAATTTTGTCTTTGTGAAAAGCATTAAAATTACATGAAAGCGTAACGGTTTTATTATAAATCGGTTTTCGGAATTACGGATATTTGAGTTTACGTTTAGTTTGAATATCGGTACATTTCTTATAGTACACGCATATTTTTACATTTGTAGTAATATTGGTATATATGTATCTGCCCAACTCTTTATTATTTCTTTAAGTGAATTTGTACAAAATTCGACATAATAATATATATAAAAATTAATTAATATTTACGATAAAGGCTACTTACTCCATTACTCTTGTGTTCAAGTAATTTTCAGTCGAAGCTAAATATGGTGCATTTTGTTAAATTTCCAGTAGAAGCTGAATATGGTGTTTTTGGGCCCTTAAATTGATGCAAGTAAAATTAGGCAGTACTGCAATGACGTTACAATTTAAATTAAATGTTTTAGTTTTTAACATTTCGTTACATGTCACTACGTTTGTATAGGTTAACTTCGGACATTTTTTTCGTGATTTTTGTATTAGACCCGACGTCCATTTATAGGTAGGTCAACGGTTTGTGTGTACCTTTTATTGCTTTTTGTGTAATAAAATATATTTGTTAAAACTTTAAGCAGAATATTCAATTGCATACACTAACCTTACCTAAACCCGCAGGAGGAGGTTGAACCAACTAGCAAATGCAAACAAATTTGGCACTAGCTGACCGTTGCCGCAGAACGCTCGCTTGCCTCGTGCAGCTTTGTCACATGCTAATCTAACCTAACCTAAACCCACAGGAGGTCGAACCAACTAGCAAATGCAAACAAATTCGGTACGTTCACCATTGCACCTAAACACCACTGGAATTATATTTATACAAAATGAACATTATGCCATCGGTATAATAGATATATAGATTGAAACAGATTGTATCACAAATTTATTTATACATAACAAGACCTGATTTAAATACTTCACATAATATAAGATCAATGATTCCATTATGGACGCTGGAATAAAGCAAGCCTTTTTTTGAAATCTTATTGGAATGTTTGTGTCCGATTAGTTCAACTGATTGAATTCAATAGTTGAACTTAGTGGAATAGACATTCTGATCAACTGATATTATCTACCTGATGATGGTGGATGAGGCAATTGAGAGGAAACAATAACTTTATCAAATGCTATTTATTTTCACGTTGTATTACACAATACACATTGTCTATTTAAAATTAGTAACCATGCGAATAAAGATACAATTATCTATAATTCTAATAACACTCTAATACAGTACATAAATTATTTCTACGCAAGTCTACTCCCGATAAATCTGATTGCAATGCCATCAATAGGTCAAAAATGAAAATATAAAAGGTGTATAAAGTATTGCGATGGCTCGTATTTTCGACTAGAATTATTATCCTTTATCATACATAATTATTTCTATATTGCAATATTAATGTTAAGTACATAGCACATTTAGATCTTATAGCAATATCAATCTATGATTTCGGTTTTAGAGTATTTAAAAATAAAGAGAACATTTGAATTTTATTTGATATTTCGTGTATATATTAGGGTCTTGCTCCTTTTTACAACTACGACTATTTATCGCTGCAAAGCGGCAGCAATTGGTCGAATAATACTCGCATTATATCATCTACACATTTAATTAACACGTTGGCAGACCCTAGTGCTGAAAACGTTTCCATGAATCGGCAATACTGTAAATGCACTTGTCACTCACTACACTACATGAGTATGAACTTCTAACGAAGTAGTTTGTCCATTTATATAATCTAAATATTAAACATATCTAGGCTAATCGTAGACTACTTGAAATTACTATATATCGAATACATGTGGGGTAACGACACGTCGTACGTAAATCTATATTTTCATAACTTTATTTCAAAGTGTTCATATGAAAGCTGCGTGTATCAGAGATCGTATAAAGGGCACATATACAGACGATTCCTCGTTTCGATTTATCATCACGATAATCATATCGGTCCGATACGGTAGTGTGTAAGTAAAAGTATTCAACTATTTTCTTAGTTTTTTGCCATTAAGGCTCAATTTACATTGCGGCGGAACGGAATGGCAGCGTCTTGCTGCGCGTGAAGGCGCGCGCAGTTGCTGGAATGCTCGTCCCGCGGATTCGCCAGACGTCGCGCGAACATGCGCGAGATATCCGCGGAAGACGCGTGACGTGATTTTTGGCTCGTATCTAGTTTGTACGTTACACGATTGACCATAAAATTCATTACGCTATGTAAAATATCGTTACAAAAATTCGCTTCCACTCCGTTCCGCCGCAATATAAATTGACTCTTATTTTTAATCATTCCGGGATTCCAGAGAGTGATGTTGTCTCCTCCAATGATATTATACTTGTATGCCCACTGGTCTCCTCTATGTATGTATATTACTTGAAGTTTAGGTAAATATACTCTGCTTGTTCCGGTGTTTGATAATTACTATAACGTCGAGAGTATTTATGCCCAGCGTTACACCTGCCCGTATTTTAGCGCTCCTAATTTATGCTATACTATACTGTGGTCACTATTCTTACATAGAGATCAACAGAATTATATGACACAATGGTGACTAATGATTAGAAGAGATGTACAGCACCGAAATTATGTACCGAAACTTTCGACAGGTTCTTTTTTAGTGACATCAAACAACTGGACGAACAAGTCGTACGCCTTTTAGTAAGGGACACGCTTGTCCACTCAGAGTTGCAGTGCCACTGCGAGCTTTAAATCGCAAAGATTTGAGGGGCACTGCCACTGAGCCCGTCAGCCTGAGACATAAGTTGACAAGTCCCATGTGGCTGTAGGAGATGTAGCGCTAGGCTAAATGTCGACACATGAAAAATTGCATGTACTATTTTTATTATAACTCTATCTTTGACTTTAACGTTAGCTCACACTGGCGGACAACGCAACAATAGTTTAATGCAACTTTAGTAGTAAAAAAATGTACAAATTGGTTACGTCGCGCAGCCAATGCAAACTGACCTTTACAAATTCAAATTCATTTTTATTTAAAAATGTAAAAATTAAACTACATAAAAATACGGCAAGACGTAATAATACTTTGAATAAAGTAAAAAAATATCATTGTAACTTATTAAGTTAAACATTCAGTAATTCTAAAAAATAACACACTGAAAATCTTAATTTGTGACCGTAATTAAAATATGACACTAATTTGAACACAAATCTAATATACTCGTAGTAGATTATTCTAAGTGAGATTAGTAAGTGAAAATGCTAGATACTGCCACACATAGGACGCAGGCTAACGAAGCAGTACCACAGTTATCATTTCACTAAGTACAAGTTACAACTCTGGTATCCGTTTCGTCCTAAACGAAATGTGCCGGAACTTTATGGTGGCGTTGTTTATTGTACGTACGTATATGCAGTCACACCCACACTCCGTGTGGATTTTTGTTAGTCGGTGCGGCGTTTTCTAGCTGCCGCGGTGATCCAATGATTCGTCGAGCGCTGCCTGCTTTACATAGACCTGTAAATATATAGAGCCGATGTCAAATTCAGTTCTAAATTTTGAACAGTGTCCATAGTAATTGTGAAACCTTTTTTACGTGTGAATATTAAAATTCACATATTGGATTTGAAGTGATTTTAAAATAAAGTTATTGGTTACTTAGTATTTTGTAATGCCTTCTTGGGTGAAAGACTAACCATCAAGAGGATGCCGCAATTCGTCCACACTGCCCGTGAGACTTTGAAGGTTGGCTTCCTTCATTTCTTGAACAAGGCGTTCGACTTGGCGCTTCTTCTCCATTATCGCGGTCTCCAGGATACCCACCTTTGAACATACGGTGTTTATAATGGTTACTCACTATTCGAATTCTATATAGACAAGTTTTATAAGGAATGTAGCGTAAAGTCGGCGTCTCTTATTCCAGCGTGACATTTACTTGATTATTCGAATTTGTCAAATTCGAATAATCAAGTAAAAAGTCGTCATTTAGTCGCAAAAAACCTAAATTTAATCTCCCCAGACTTTCAAAGTTACGAAGGTGTTTTGCCACCGACACGATTTCTCTATCTCGAGAACCATAGCTAAGTGCTATGACGCTCGAGATTGAAGAATGTTGCCTCTTAAATCAGATTGCACTAAAAAGAATATCATGATTTATTTATTTATTTCAGACATTTATTTTAGTCGAATCTAGTCATAAAAAAAACTAGATTTAGTCGTTGACGATTTGAAGTTATTACGATGTCTTACTGTCCACGATGAAAAAGCTTATTCCAGCGCAATGACTATCCTAGCAGCACAATTTTTGAATATCGAGAACCAAAGTTCCTACCTTAGATTTAGGTTCTAGTCGTAACTTTACAATTATCATTATTTCATTTATGGCGGCCACTAACTTTAGAATTAGTCGCTCCTTTATTTAGAAGAAAACAACTTGAGCTTTGTCACACTGCGCACTGGTCCGTAAAACCGAAAAAAAAATTAGTAAATTCTGTTTTATGTTTTTGTAAGTCTTGCTACATTGCGTTGCGACAGAGTTGCCCAAAAATGACCCAAAAACAAACATTAGTATGACTATAAACGAATCCCAGTGTTCTCAGTGTCCTCTCAAAACTAATGTTCCTAATGAGAATATACCTTCACACTAGTTCGCCGTAGTCGGTTAAAAACCAGCACTTACCTCTCGTTTTAAATTTTCAGCAGTAAGGTGGTTAATTTCAGTGGCATGTTTGGCTTGCTGTATTTGACTCTGTAGATTCTCCATTTCGCCGAGCATCGACCTTTCCAGGGCTTGCCTGAAATCAAATTTAGTAATAATTGTTTTAAGTGATCACCCTGTTCATAAACGACCTCGGCGTCGATAATGAGTCTACATGCACTTTTATCAAATATTTGTTTACAAAAGATTTTCCAATATGATTATAGGTATCATGCTTAGCATATAACCAAACTTACTATTTACTTATTTTCTAATTATTTAATACTTTTTTTCTAGACAGTCTTGTGCCCTAAAAGTCTAAAACGAATTTAAAACAGTTTTGTGCTCTGTTTACCTTGCTCACGTTTGAAACAAAGAACGTGTGTCGAGTTACGCCTTACCTATTCTCCTGATGTCTTGTATTAATAAGCCGCTGTGCGTTATGTATCTCCTCCATAAGCTTACGTATCTTGTTTTTGCACTGCAACAACTCTGTCTCACAATTGGCCAATTTCGATCGCACCAGTACTATCTCCGACCTAAGAGTCTTTTCGTTCTGTCTCACTATTTCACTCTCCTCTTCTACATAGGATAGTGCTTGCACCTGAAAGTTAAATTTTTTTTTAGCGTTTATTTGCAATGTTATGGGTACAAGTAATATAAAAGTTCTTAAAACAGTATAAGGTACAGCCATGTAATCCTGCAGGGCATAGCTATTTGTTAAGCTTAAAATAAACATTCTTATTAAACTAAAATCTTAAAGAAAAAATATCGAAGGAAAGGTAAATCAAAAGTGTTATATTAATTCCACTGGTAAAAAACTAATAGCCCAGCTAATATCAAAGCGCTGGCAGTCTTCCTTATTTTTCGTTTTAGCGTGCACATTTCCACGCGCAAAATGTTAGTTTAATATTTTTCACATAGACATAACGTCGTAACCTCGACTATTTCTGGTCACAGAACGGAATTGAAGGCGTAAAGTTCGGCACGAGTTGTAGAAATGTATTTTTGTGCTATATAGGTCGAGGAACGGCCGAGTAATTACGTTCATAGATTGTGTAATTAGAATGAATACCAAGCAAACCTGCAGACTCTTGAATGGCATTAAAAAGGCGCATTTAGGGAGAAATTCCGTAAGTTATATAATATAAGTATCCGAAGTTATATTATATAAATATTTAACTTTAGGATAGGGGTGTACCTCATGGTGAATCTGATCGATGGCATACCATAATTAATGTTATAGAGTCAGTTCGAACTTAACTCACGGTCGAAAAGAAAACAATGGAAGCGCTTAAGTCTCGATTATTATCAGAACCGCTGTCGTAAAACACACACTATCATAATGTTAAACACTATGAAATTTTATGAATGACTGGGTAGTAGTTTTTAATTTAAAAAGACGTAAAAAATTATAGACTGTTAATATAATTTCAATTTTATCCTGTTGACACATCGTTGAAAGTTCAATGTCTATTAGGTATACCTAACGTCTTAACATCTTAACTTGCTATAGCAAGTTAAGACGTTTTGATTTTATATTAAAATTTCATTCAATGTGCTGTACCCTAGCGATCAATAGCCGAAAGGCGAACGAGTAGAAAATTTGAGATGTTTACTTAGTTCTCCAAAAAAAGTCGACCATATTGTAGCAGCATAGGGTTTACTTTTGTTTCTTATAACAAAAATCTATTACGATAAACAGTAAATGGAAAATATATTAAAATGAAATAAAATAGTAGCAGTAGAGCTCTTGTCGAAGACATTACCTATTTCTACCGCCAAGCAGTAATGGTCACATTATTGTGTTCCGGTTGTGAAGGGTAAGGGTGCTGGTGTAATTACAGGCACATGAGACCTGTCAACGTATCGTCTTCACGACGACGATATGAAACATCACTATGGATAATATTATATGTACGACTATCATTTTTGCACTCCAAACTAGCAAAAATCGAGCGATAATGGCGAACTGAGCTCAAGTTTGCGGAACTCCGCATACTGTTGGCTACGCTCACTAAGCACTTCTATTATACATAGGGCGCACTATAAGTTTTCGGAACTGGCCACTTTCATAAACAATATTTAAAAAGTAATTACAACATTTGAAAATGGAACTCTTTAACTGTTGTGACGTCATTTTAGAAATTGGTTGTCTACATCACCATGGATTTAACTCGTGAAAAATTTCGGATTTTCTACGACTTTAAGTGTGATCAAACAGCTCAGCGAAGCTTCGCTTCGCTCGGCGTCAAACTGCTTTTGGCGATGAAGCACCATGCAAGACGACTATTTATAGCTGGTTTGCAGAATTCAAACGCGGTCGTGTGAATCTCAGTGAAGAATTTCGTGATGGTCGCCCGTCCACTGCTGTGAACAACAAAAACATCGATGCTGTGCGCCGTATGATCAAAACAGACAGCCATGTGACATACCATGAGATTCAGGCATCTTTAGGCATAGGCATGAGTCAAATACAATCAATAACACTCACACAATAACAAACATTTGGGTGTGAAAAAGCTGTGCTCTCAGTGGATTCCACACAATTTGACTGAGGCTCAAAAAACGGATCGCGTCACTTGGTGCAATGCCATGCTTACCAGATTCAACCATGGGGCGTCAAATTTGGTGTGGGAGATAGCAACAGGTGACGAAACATGGATTTATAGTTACGATCCCAAAACAAAGCAGCAATCGAGCGTATGGGTCTTTCGAGATGAAACCAACCAAAGTGGCGCGCGTGCAAAGTGCCTCTAAGCGGATGATTGCTTCTTTTTTTAATAAAACTGGACACGTGGCTAATGTTGCTTTGGAGAATCGTTGTACCGTGAATAGTGATTGGTACACGACCATTTGTTTGCCGGAAGTTATTGACAAACTCCGTAAAAATTATCGTAAACGCCGTATCATCTTGTACCACGATAAAGCCAGTTCTCACACGGCCAGATAGACAAATGAATTTTTTAAGGTGAACAACGTTGACCTTATCAGCCATCCCGCGTACAGTCCCGAACTTGCACCCTGTGACTTTTATTTATTTCCAAAAATTAAAAACCGTGGTAAAAGATTTTCATCATCTGAAGAGGCTGTCGAAGAGTATGAAAAATATGTTTGTGTGATTGTCACGGAGTGGCACAAATGTTTTCAAAATTGGTTCATTCTTATTGAAAAGTGTATTAACGCTAACGGAAAATATTTTGAGAAACAATAAATTCATTTCTGACCATTTATAGTATTTTTTTCTTGTTCATTCCGGAAACTTATAGTGCGTCTCACGTATTTATTGTTTTTTAAACTTACCTGTTCAGTGCTGATACGCAGCTGATTGTCAGCAGAACTGATTTGCTGCTGTAATAGCTCCACCTGCCTCTCTTGCTCGCGACTCTTGTTCTCCCAGTATCCAATCTCAGCATCGTACTGTTGAAACAATTACAGGCATAAAACTAAAATAAGGATGACCAAATACTATGTTCATGTGTACCATAAAGATGCCAAAGATTTTAATAATTCCCTAATACATCTAGCGCAATATCATTGATGATTTCATACCTCCCCTTACCCATTAGACTTAACTAATAATCAATGATCGGAATAGGACGATCCAAATGACATAGACTGGTTATAACCACCAAATATTAATTAATTACTTTTTCGAATTCCAGAAATAGTTTTTTTTGCATCGTAAGATAAAACTACTCACCTCGGAAGCTGAAATTTGATTTCAAAGTAATTCTAGAGGTGCCACGTAATAAAGTAGTAGTTGAAAGGTTACTCACCTAGTGATTTTTTTACATGGCGCCCATATGGCGGCACTAAAATTACTGTAAAATCCAACTTCAACTTTCTAGGTGAATAGTTTTATCTTACTATGCAGTAAAACTCTTTCCGGAATTCGAAAAAGAAATAATTAATATTTGGAGGTTTTAACCACTCCATGTATCTCTGCCGTCCTTATCATAAACGACGTAATCGACATTTTAGTGAAATTTAGTTATTAACATATCACGAATAAAATTAAAGGAGATCTACAATATTATATATATTTATATCTTATTTAGTTTCAGTTTTATTGCTAAACAAACTCAGCATGATTAACATTTGTCAAAGAAAAAAGCTTTAGAAAGTTACCAAAACGCAAATGCGTTATTTATGACAAGGAGGGCCAGATCTATATGTATAGACATTTATTTACTCATTTGGAACATCCTATTCCGCCCATTTCTAATGATTTTAACCTTCATGTATGTATAATGTTTCTTACATTTGTGTACAGTAACATATACAGTGTTACATTCATGCGCAATAGCGTTTACTGTAAGTATTCATCATCATCAACCCATTCATATGTCCCATTGCTGGGCACGGGTCTCATCTCAGGCGAGGGTTTAGGCCATAGTCCGCCACGTCGGCCAATGCGGGTTGGGGACTTCACACATTTTTAGGTTGTGAAAATTCTTCGACTTGCAGGTTTCATCACGATGTTTTTCTTCACCGAAAAACTCACGATAAATTTCGCACATAAATTCCGATAAACTTAGAGGTCCCACCTCTGCCGGGCCGAGATCGAACCCACGGCCTCTGCCGGGCCGAGTTCGAATCCACGGCCTCTGCTTGAGAGGCAGTAAATCATACATACCACTAGGCTACCACGGCTATTATTGGAGTTCTACCTTAATGAGATCAACTTGCTGGCTAGATAACTTCTCTCTCTGATAGTTGACGAGAGAAACCAGCTCTCTATACTGGCTGTTGTAGGTGACTGCCTCGGGACTCCTCTCCAAATGTTCATCTGGTAGGTTAACAGGTGACATGTGAGCGGAACGAGAACCGCGCGTGCGGTTTGGTGATTTCCTTGCGATTTGCGCGGTCGCAGGCGGCGGAGGAGAGCGATAGGGTGGTGGTGGTTCTCTGGTAAACATTAAAAGAACTTAAATAAACAGTCAGACGTATAGGAGTCAACCAAATTATTATAAAATCTCATAACAACATCTGGACAACCCTTACGGTTTTTATACAGGCTAGGGTAGCACTTCCAACGCTCAACGCCAGTCTATCCCGAAAATATCTTAACCCTAGAAATATATTTCTAGGGTTAAGATATAGGTTATAACCTACGTCGAATATATTTTCAAAAATCAGTAAAATTCGTTCGTACTAGGCGACAGTGCACGCGCCGTCCTTGCCAACTCTGTCAACCCACAGACCTTGCAGAAGACGCTGGTGGCGCTCAGGTTAATACTCTACTTATCTAAATAATATACCTCCCATACGTCGAAGTGACGAATGGTTATCTATTGCGTTAGTTTTTGACTTCGACATGTATAGAATATAGTCAATAGGTTTTCGTGATTTATGTGCGCCTAAGCGGATTTGTGCACTGCATCCAATTCGTATTCGGTCCGAATCCGAGACTATAGAAATCTACAAAATTCGGACCCTCTTCGGAACACTTAGTCCAATTCGAATCCGAGAAGATACGAATATCACTTGTATACCTAGAGATCTCGGATTCGGAACAGGGGGTCTACTCTCGATCTCGGTCCGACATCCGTCCGAAATAATTACTGCCAAATAGGCAATACTTGACCAAATGAAAAGACGCGTGATGCGAATGAAGCTTCATACTGGATACTTGTCTCTTAATTTTGTCGAATATTACTTATTTGATAGTAATTGTTTCGGACGGATGTCGGACGGAGATCGAGAGTAGACCCCCTGATACGAATCGAACGTAGTGAAGCTTAAAAAAGCCCGTCAAGGATTAGGACAAGAAACGCAAATGCGGGACTACGGCAAAGCAGCTTTCTCACACCAACCCGAGATGCCTAATAACGCCTCTATCTCCCGAAATGTCACATACATTAGTTGTCTCACATCAATGCTGTTATCTTCAGTGGAGGAGGATTTTGGACGTCCACACAAGATTTGTCACTAAGACTGGTATCTCCAAACTGGAATTCTAAATACCGGTGTTCGACAGACCCAAGACATGGGACTTCATCATGAAACACAGATGTTAGCTCTTCGAAACACTGAAGTTATAGAATATTTATGTAGTGAGTAGATATCCATTATTCAGAACAGTTTGTGAAAACCTGTTTGTTTTATAAATAATAGACTTATGCTTGGCCACTATCTCATCTGATGTTAAGCAATGATGTGACCTACAATGGTATCCATTTGCTCTAAATTAGCAGAATTTGTTTATATCGAGTTCTTAGGTTTTCGCGATTGTTACGCATAGGAAATGAAACTATTTTTCCGGATTTAAATCGCGTATATTTGTTTTTTCAAGAATTTGTTTAGCTTATAAATTGCTGTTTGATGTATATGTAATTATATACATAAATAAAAAAGAAATAGTAAAAAATTCTACAGCAGACAACATTGCAGTTTAAAAATATATTATTAAGTGCCAGTAACATGAATTATTTCCACTTATAAATTACAACTATCTGGAGCATTGACCTAATGATCTGGAGAGAGAAGCTCCAACATCACACAAATTCACAATGAAAGCTTAATCGTGGGAAATACACATAACTGTTTTACTTTCTGTTTCTTGAAAATTAAAAGTAGCTAGGTTAATATGAGAAAACATGCATTCTACAAACGAAACACACATAGTTTTTGAGTTATTAGGGTTAAAAACACAATGAGTGTTTTTAGGACAATGTAGAATGACTAACAACTCTTCGTTATTGTTACTTGAAGTGCTTTTTTGGGAAATACATACCACCTCTTCTGAATGACCTAATAGTTGCTCATATTTCAAATGTTACATAGTATTGAAACTGGATAGTACCTACCCACAATGATATGTGTGAAAAGATTGATTCAAGTGCAGGAAACAAAAAAGGAATATTGAGTTGTTACAAGTAGAGCGCTACAGCCTCTGCCAATACTACTAAGAGACAGATGTATTAAAAAGAACTAAATATTCCTTTTACCTGTAAGGTGGGACATCTTTCATAACTGGGCTGTCTGACTCAGGAGTCTTTGCTTGCTGTACTCCTTTCACAACTCCTACAGGGTTGCCAGCAGGTGAATTGTTGTTATTATTATTGTGTGTAGGTGTTGCATTCATTCGATTTGGTGAACCTTGACTCTCCAATATGTTTGGATTTGACGTGATCTGGCTCCTAAAGATACATAGCATCCAAATTTACAAACACATTTTTTTCATATCAACACGATCAAATTAGATTAAGAATCCATTAGTCATTTGTCTGGAAGTAGATGCAGAGTATATTTGAGTAGTCCACTAGCAAACGCGTTACGTGCGTGAATAAAAAAAGGTATAAACTAAAAAAACTTGTTCTGAAAACAGATTTTTAAATGGTACTTTTTTGATTATCTGAAAATTGTGATAAAAAGATAAACCATATGAAGGAACAAAATCACAGTATAAAACTTTTTACATTATTTCCATTTAAAAATTAAACAGAGATTTTGAAACAGTAATCTTAAAATAACTAGTTTTGTAATTGTTCAGAATTAATGTAGCTAGTTTTGCAACAACACAATTACAACATGGCTAGTTTTGTTATAATAACAGTAAAAAATACAACTTAAATCTAATTTCAATTTTCCTTTTGACTCTTATATACACATGGATATAAAGATTATATATAACGACATCAACCATCAATGTATCTCATTATCTGTCATTTCTTCTTCTTCGATCACATTTGAATGTACTTGGCGAAATGTTTGATGGGCAAGATTTTAATAAATGAACACAAACAACCTCTCGGATGACAAATTCGTAAATACCAAACAAAATAATGGATTTTGCATGAATTTATGCTCTATGAACAGTGTTTGCAGGTTGACTACAAAATGGAAACTTTAGAAAGTGTGAAACTAAGAAAGATAGAGACTTTTGCAAGTGTAGTCAACGTCTGACAAAAATGTTTGCAAGTGGACTACTCATACAGTGGTGTCAATGTCTTTTATCACACTCTATTCCAGTAACCCACACATCTAAAATCTAATCTGGGGAGACATTGTGGGCAGCAACAGAAGGCATAAAGTAATGTGCAAGTAGCCTTTAGTCATATTTTATGCAGTAAGACAGTCAACAGCATTTTGTGTTTAAAACACTTAAAATTTAAATTCAATTCTACAACACATGATAAATACTGTTCAAAGTCCATAATTGAAAACCCAGCATACTGTTAATTGTACCAATAATATTTTGATTTTATTTTCCATTGTCTTTTAACATGTATTTTATCATAAATATTCATATTAACACACTAGTTACCAATCTAACAATCTAGTTACCAATGTGTCCATTTCAAAGTAATAATGTTTTCCGTGCAATTAATATAAAATGTTACAGGGGATTGGTTAAACAGCCTGTGGTGTTGAATAAACAAATACAAACCCATTGCCTGTTGTTGATCTAGAGTTATTTGTAGCTTGGGTAGGCTTTGAATTATTGCTCCCAGAATCCGATCTTCTCAATATAAACTGAATATCATTTGAATATTCGCCCCACTTTATTAGGATCTGAAATTCATCACCATACAATCCAGTATAGAAAGTACACAAATAATAGAAACAGTATTAGCAGACTTAAACAAGCAATGTTACCTTAAGAGGGTACTCTTGAGGAGCCAGCAGTCTTTCATTATTTCGCCATCGCTCGATCAGTGTGAACCTGCCCACTTTGCCTGTAGCATGGGCTAATGCAAACACTACATCCTGTTTAAAAATCGATAGTACAATTTTAGCAATCAATTACATAAAATGTGAAAACAAAAAGTGAAACTGTGTTCCCGTAGCATACTTCACATACACGTCTGTAATGATGAAAATTTCTGAACTGACCTGGCAAGTAGTGGTCTCTGTGACCCCGCACACAATCCTTTGTATCCCCTCGACCCAGACCTTCAACTCCATTAATCCCACACGATATCAATCAATATTCAATGCTTATACATCTAAGGCATAATTTGAAGCTTATACCACCTCACTACGCACTGCTTCTCACACAAATCGAAATAAAGGACACAAAAACATACCAAAAATCACAATAAAAAATATTGAAGCATAGTGATTTTTGAAATCTTCGTTTAAAAATGTTTACTCCTCATGACATTTTAACTAATCGTTTATAAATTTGAAAGGTTTTGTGTGCAAGCGAGTAAGCATGAACCAATAATTGTAAAGATACTTCTATCTTGAAATATCCTATGGAAATTTACTTCCTATTCCTTCGAATAGGAAGTAAATTTCCATAGGCAACTGAGGATCGTATTCCAGAACTTTATTCAATGCTCAAGTCAGGATTTGATTATGGTTTAAAGCACTCGAAATCATACTCAAGTCCCTGTCATTAGAGTCGTATTTCCAGTGCTTGTGTTTCCAGTGCAATCCTGACTTGAGTATGATTCAAAGCAATAGAAATCATACTCAAGTCCTTGCCATTAGGGTCGTATTTCCAGTGCTTGAAATCATACTCAAGTCTGCTCAAATCATGACTTGAGCATTGAGTACAGTTCTGGAATACGACTCTCAGGGTGACTAGGTCAGGACTAGGTATGTAATATAGCTTTTTCTGAATATCTAATCTAGATTTCGAAGATATATATTTTCTGAAACTATATATTCATGGTTGCAGCCGGCGTGCGAGACTTGATACATTGCCATTACTGATATTCGAAATCAGATTTCGAACCTATATATTAATGAAATTAGATATAGCCTGCGTGCGCCCTGATACGTTGCATTTGATACGAAGCAATATCAGTATACAGTTTGGAAATAATACGATTTAAAATACGCGATGCGGAGCAATAACAATATATAATTTCTAAAATATTATAATGTGATATTAGAGAAAACTTTTTAAATGTAAATCTTAAAGGTACACGGTATAAAAGGTAACGAAAGAGCTGATTGATCAGTTAGTTAAAGACGCGGTGACTTTGGAGATGTTCATCCATATATCAATTATTGCCCTCATTTAACTACCTTACCTAGAATCCATTTATTGGATTCCTGGGAAAAACATATAACTAAAATCTCTCAATCTAAAGGCAAACACTATTTTATAGTGCAGCCTCATATTCCTAAAAAACCCTGGTTTATTCAGATAGAGTGCAATAAAACAATTATTAGTATTATTACGAATACGTCTTGGTCATGTGTGCACCCCTGCACAGTTGACTAGATTACATATTGAGAATAACGACCAAGAGTGTGAATGTGGAAACGATACGGGAGAGCTCGATCATATATACTTTTCTTGTCCCCACTATGATCGTTCCTCTTTCCTAAATTCCAATCTTGAATGTTCCATTTCCTACCCGTTTGTCTTGTTTACTGTTGCATCCATGTATGTTTTAGACTATGGAAACCAAATTTTTCCATCCTCTATGATGTATGCACCTACTATAATGTTTTATCTTCCTTTAACCTGGACAATGATATTAAACCTTAGACTATGGAAACTAAAACTCTACTCTACTCTACTCTTTTATTTTTTTCCATCCTCTAAGTATTAAACTTAGGTAGGTACCTATTAATTTAAAACCATAATATGTTTATAATACTTATATAGAAACTCCTGTGATCCCTTTTTTCCAAATCCTGCGACTTTTCCAACTTTTTTCTATAAAATCCTGTTTCCCTACCTTTTAAAGTCAAAGCTCTAAACCATAGGATGGAAATGTTTACTTACATTTCATATATCCTCGCCTGATTTCTTTTTCACTTTTTCTCCAACTATCGAATCCCGTTTCCAAATTACATTCCATGATAGAAGTTTCCCCGGTTAAAAACAAGCTAGGATAACAATTTGAACGTGGCTAAAACGCTTACCGTGAAGAGCCGAGAGAAATAAGAAAAAAAAAGATGGAGGAAAAAGCAGGATGGAAACTAATGAAAAAAGCTCTTTGCGTGTATTTTGTAGGCGGGAAATTCGAATAATTCAAACAATTTATTTTCTACATTTCAATTAATCCAATCTTGTCAGACAACTGTGATAGTACCTATAAAATACAATATTCTCTGTAAGCACTTAACTAATATAAAAACAGATTTTAGATACTTTTAGTATTTAAGATCGGACCTATTGATATTTGATCTGTACTTTTGAAGTGAGATAGTTAATTATTTTTATAACATTAGGTTTCAAAAATGGCGTCCTCTACGAACGCTGCGGCTGGCGAAGATGATGATGAGGTAAGAAATATTTGAGAAAATATCTATCGTATGCGTTATCTTTGAGAACTTTCACTTCTGCTTTCTACTCCTATTAGGAGAAAACTTTTAACGTTGAAGAAGTACAAAAGATAGTAAGAGACACTATCGAATTATGCCTCGGAGGAAACGCCTACAGCCACACCCGTACTCCTAATTGGATCGCGATAATTACCGACAAGACTATGTCCCGGCTTAGCAAACTACAAAAGCCTTTTAAGTATATATGTAAGTATTCGTTGAACTTCATAAATTTCTGTAAGTAGCAAGTCTCTAATGCCACACTATCCAAGGTGGCCACAGGACAGTAGTCCAAAAATTGACTTCCAAACCTTTTTTTTAGGTAGAGGACACTCTAACGACCCATTCAAAATAAATATTAGTTCCGCGAAAATCAATAGTTAGAAGTTATGATTTTTGTATGTATTTTTTTGAAAATTCTCTACTTTAAGTGACTAAAACTACTCCAATTTGAAAACCATTTCTCTAAATTAATTGAAATTTGGTATGGAAGTCGTGTAACCACGTAGCTAGCATGCAATGCGCTATTTTTCTACTAGTTTTCAAACTAGAGTCGTTTTAGTGACTAGTAGAAAATTTTGAAAAAGTACATAAAAAATCATAACTTCTATACTATTGATTTTCGCATATTTATTTTGAATGAGTCGTAACAATGTGTTCCATCTAAAATTTTTGAACCACTGTAAATGGGCCACTCAGTATTACCAAATTTCACTGCATGCCTTTATTGCGAAACGTAGATATGTATTTTCAGAAGAGGTTTCTTGTTTTAACGTAAATATATTTTGTTATTAGTACGGGTCACAATAACTCAAAAGAACGGCTCCGGTCTTCATACGGCGGCTGCCTACTTTTGGGATACGCTAACCGACGGCACTTGCACTGTGCGTTGGGAGAACAAATACATATATTGTATCGTCAATGTTTGGGGCATGTCTTTGCAATTATAATTTTGAAAGATTATTGTTATATGTATATCATTGATTAGTTAATAACAGGTAAAAGGTTTCGCCCCATGATAAAATTAATACTATCGTCTCTCAATAAGAGGACAGTAATTAACAATATATTGGTTTGCAAATGCCCGTATGTAGTAGAAGGTTAATTAGACTATAGTTTAATAAAACAAGAAATGAAGCACATTTTAGTATTTTTATTTTTGGTAAAATTTACCACAATACAAAATAATGATAGAAATAAATAAAGTAATAAAATGTATAGACAGGTCATAGAACTATGCATTGTAAAGTGGTGCTTTTAAAGCATTTAATATAATAATTTATAATAACATTAGGCAAAATGGCATTGTGTACATTACAAAATAAAAGCATTATTTTTAACACAGAAAAAATAATGTCAAGAGCAGATGATTATTACAATTATTAATTACATACTTATCGCAAATTCAATCATCACTTGGTGATTTGATCTTTCAATCATGATGTCAATAGAGTCATGAAATGCACATGCATGTAATTCATAGATGTTTGATTTACAACCACGACGACACTTAAATACATCTACTCTCGCCAAGTGTTTTCAAATTACATTAATCTAAAAGAAATGTGCGATCCGATCTATAAATGGCCATTAACTAGCGCGATTTTTCCGTATATAAGATCGGTTTTCAAAACCATTAAGAATAAAATTAGTACATAATCAAATGTAAAAACATCACTGTCAGGGTCAAACATTGTAATATCACAAAGAGAATGAGAGAACAGTAAAAGAACTTGAGGTTAATCTTATAAATTAGTGTTAAAAATAGATCTTAATGAAATTTTATATTGATTAAATTACATGTACTTTATAAAGTAACTCGATGTAAGCTATATGTATAACATTGACTTATTTTGAATTAATAGAATGAATAACAAATATTTAAGTCATCATAAAGAAATCGTATTTAACATTATGGCTTATCAGCATCGTAATTTAAGAAAAAAAAAGCGACTAGTTCTTGTACAAATAAATACGGCCCTAGTTTACAAGTGGAGAGTATACTAAGAAACCATTGTATACCTATAGAAAATCAAATCATACTAAACTTAATGAATCACCAACATTATACAGAGTAGAAAAAAAATGTTTTAGGGTAGAATCAGTTGAAATACTGTCTGTTATAAATTTGGGCCGCATGATAACCAATTAATAAATGATCAATTCTGAAAATGACCTAGTCTATTGCAACGTACGTGGCCCTAAACGCTATTGTGCGTCGTTAAAGTTAGAACAAGAGTGCAAAGACCACCAAGCTAGTTTTGTCGGCAAGCTACAATAACATCAATGGCGCACGTACATTCATTAAAACTATGCCGTAAGTAAATACAGACGTGTTAGAGAATTACTGTATATATAACACTATTATAACTTTTTCTACTACATTTAAATCTGCTCTATTGACTATTTAATAAAATACTTGGGGACACAATAAACTATCTTAATACTGCTATTGTTAGGTGCAGTAACAAATTTCTTAGCAAACCGTCTAAGGCATTGACAATGTCCAGATACTACCAATCTACAATATTTTGCTTTATCATAATTGTATATGGATTATAGTTTATAAGATAAATGTAAAATGAGCACATATTTATATAATATATGTATCTTGTGATGACTGACTGTGATGCAATATTTATTTTAAATATGGTTATTTTTATAATATAGAAGTAGTTCCGAAATATGCAATAGTTATCAATATTTATGTTTTCAATACCGACTATGGCGAAGTATTAAAGCCCAACCATGTTCATTCGCGCGCTGATCATTGAGCGCATCGCGCTCAGGGGTTTAGGGCTCGATCAGCCTGGCGGCAAGTTCTCGGTGTCGGGCTCGCTGCGAAATAGCCCCTACCCGATTGGTTTAATATATTTATAGTCTGAAAGCGGCTACTCACTGCGAGCGAACTAGTATGATATAGCCTCCACCGCCTGTTGGTACGAGTCCTTTTGAATTGGCCATTTTGCGCATGTGCATTTGCTTGACAACCTCTGTCCTTATGGCGAGACTGTTCTCACACCGAGTAATTTATATTTTACATTGTAAATACTCCATAATATACGATCTACTTCTATGACTACAATAAAACGATTTGTCGCTTAACCTCATTATTATGACAATTTAATTCCTCTTATTTACAAATTAGCTATACAATACTAATTAAAATTATCAAAAAAGTAACATTGTACTTGTAACTTTGCTACCCTTCTTTTCGAATGTACTTATCAGTATTACATATCTAAATCTCCATCATATGTACACGTACGACACTATGTTAGTCGAGACTTAACTGATCACAAGTAAAGAAAAATAAGGACAAAATGAGGAACAACAACATACTCTAGCTACGCACTAACCGTACTCTCGTCTAGCCCTGGGGCTAACACGTATCACATCGAAGTTAAGTGTAGACACTTAAGCAATTTCCAAACCATCTAAGAATTGCTTCTATAATAAAAAAAAACAATACAACTAAAGGTATTTACAAAAATAATTAACTTATCACAAAATAAGAATTGTAAGTAAATTAAGCAATTTGCAGACCATCTCATGATGTCTTCTACAGTAAAATAATACAACTAAAAGTATTTACAAAAATAATTAGCCTATCACAAAATAAGAAATATTAGAAATAAAATCAAATGTGTTACCAGTCCAACATTCTAAAACACTGGGTAGATTCAAAAAGAGATCAAAACAAGATTCACGTAAAATTTTAATTATCAATTCTCCGGTACTACATTTTGGTACTAAAATTGTCAAAATGAGGTGGGTAAATAGCGATATGTGATTCTGACTTATCGTCTTACATACAAAAATTATGTATATGTTATAAGAAATTGTGCTCGACCCAGTATTTCATATACATTCACTTCCCCACAATTAATTCCAAAATCATTTAGAACTGCCAGGAGATCCTTCGATTTACCGTTTCCAAGGTTTGATTATTTTAATGCTTATTACAACCACTAGTATCTTATAGCTTAACGCTTATTTCTTCTACATATGTATGTACTTATAATTATGCTACTTTTTCGCTGTTCTTGATCCACGAGAGCTGCAAACCCTCAGGGTGGTTTTTCCACCCAGGCTACTTAAAATATTCCAAAAAATGATGTAACTTTTTAGTTTACAAATGCGATGCTTTTGTAAGTCTTTAATTGGAACATTTTAGAGCACTATAAACAACACTATTCAATAAGATCGTAATCAAAAAACAATTGACACAACATTTACTTAAGTCGAATAGTTCTTACCTGTTTAGTTAAGATATTTGCGGCACTTTTTAGCACCGCAAGTGCACGGTATTTTCACCTCTTCGAAGGGAAATTTATAGTCGTATGTAAGTTCTTCTCCTACGGAGATGCGGCGAAGAGCGAAGATCAAGATGTGTTTATGTCCATGTATGTCAACGACGCGCGAGTAGCAGTTGGGCTGTAATGCGGAAATATTACAAAAATTAAATCAATTAAGGTAAACCATATAAGCACCAAAAATATTTATATGAGATCAAACATACGTCGCAAGAATGGTTGATAAATCTAGCTGCGTTTCCCTTCAGGGTGGCGTCAACCACCAAATTATCGTCGATTCTGAACATGTAGCAGCCGCCGACGCCTCGACGTCCACTCATCGCCTCATATTTCTTTTCTCTCTGATCTGCTAACACTGCGCGTATAACCTCGCCTGCATATTCAATAACCATGTCACCTGCAAACAAAAAGACATCGTGTTATTTCATCAAGTTATTTGTAACAGTAGTTATACTAGGTTTCGGTTAACGTAAAACAAAGTCATACCTTCTTCAATATCTCTTTTGCAGAACAAACCACGACCGTGAATGTGCGACCTATAGACACCCACTGACGCCTTTGAAGTCTCTTTCAGTTGCCTGAATCTCATAGCTGGGGGTAATGTGGCCAATCGCCTGCAACATAGGATCAAAATATGTTTTTTGTGCTGTCAGTTTTTTACTACCGATAATATTAATATTGTCAAAATTTGCAAATGTGAATGAATAAGCTGGTACAGTTTTGATATGGGGTTATTCGTTACTCCGATAACGACTTTTATTACTAATATTACCTGGATATAGAACTTTCTCCATCCTGACTTCCAAAAGGAGGAGGCTCCTCTCTAAACGGTGACGCCATCCAACTAAACATATCGTGGTTCTGTTTTCTTGTAATTGGGCCAGTTCTAGCACTACCCCAAGCGCTTTCCTTGAAACCTTCGCTCAGGTCTAAATCGTTATCCCAGCTGCTAAGTTGACGGCCTTGATGTGTCTTGTACTTGATGCATCGACTTGCCTGTATAAATATACAAAAAGTGAAAATTATAAGATGTTTTATACCTAACATTTGTAACTATAAACATCAACTTACCCCAGGTAGTTGTTCTACAAGGTATCTGAGGGCGTTGTTATTCAATCCTAATAAATGAGCTCCAGATATACTAGACGGCAAGTTGTACTGCATCAGTGGCAGTCCTGATTGTCTCCTCGTATTCTGCACTGCATCTACAACCTTCGCCCATAGATCAGTAAGTGAAGACGAAGTGTAGTTAAATCCATCTTCAGATGTTACTTCGTAGATCAATTTAGGTCCGTCGTCTTTTGGTGGATCGGGTGCTTGTTTGGAGTGCACTTGTTTGTTCTCTTGGCCTTTTGACGTCTTGCTTTGTTTCTTTGTTGTTGTAGACTCATTTTCAGTCTTCTTGTCAAACAAATGTCGTTTCATGACTTTGGATGCGGCGTTTGTTTTAGACAACTGTGGTAATGTATTTGGTTCCTTCTCAGCTAAAATCTTAGGCGGTTCCACTTCTATCATTTCAGCATCTAAACTGGGCAATGACGGCATCTTAGGAGTGATTTCAATAGCTTCGGTCACAATTACTTCTGTCTCGATTGGTGTTACACTCGCATTGACTGGAGTGAGATCGGCGGATAGTTGTATTGCTTCAACAGCGTCTCTTTCTTCCTTTTCCCTCTTAGTTCTCTCAAGTTCAATCATACGCTTTGATTCCTCGATGGCTTTTTCGAGATCACTATCGATGGTTTCATCTTTAATGTTGAGATCTGGCATGTCATGACCGGCTGTTGTTCTCTGTCTTGACACTGCAGTGCTTTTGTTGGCACTAGAGTTCTTTACAGACTTTTGTCCATCTCTGTGTAGTGGTAATACTCTGTTCATTGGTCTCATGGTCATAGGATTAACAACATTTGTCGGTATACCAGATTGCTGGGTAGGTGGAGCTTTAGGTAACGTTATGCTGGTGCTATTTTGTGTAGGTAAATTGATTGTATTATTTTGTACAGGTATGCATATCATGTTACCACTGTTGTTTTGATTAGGCAATAAACTCGTATTTGACTGAATTGGAAAATTTATGTCACCAGCCGCCTTTGAAGCAATCTTGGGATCAACTAGATTGTTTTGGACAGTGATGTTAACGGTGTTGTTGCTAGAATTGACATTGATATTCATGGGAGCGCTGTTCGGTATTGCTTGGAATGGCACATTGATCATTGTGCTGCTGTTTTCACTTTTCTGCTGGAATGTCATAGGATCTGCAACGGCATTACTGGTATTATTGGTAACAACTCTTATATTATGTTGTTGAGACACGTGTTGATTGATGTTGTTTTCTAAGTTAGCGTTATTTATTCTGGTTCTCTCTGGGAGGTTGATCGTCCGATTGCTTTGTGAATTCATTTGCATATAACCGATTTGATTGCTTACAGATATAGTATGATTCTGTTTGTCATTGCTTACTATATTAACTTTGGCGCAATCGTTACCAGAAATATTTGACATGGGCATACTTGTGTTTGAAGATCCCATGATGTTTTTCACTCTCAAGTTGTCTTGAGTGAATTTAGCTGATTCATTCACCTGTATATTATTCCTCCCGATCTGATTGTCTATTCCAGCGATCGGATTCTGTGAGGTATTGGTTGTAGTCAAACTGCAGCTATTGATATTTATTTGTGTAGTGTTAGGAGCTTGCCCTGTCAACATCTGATTTTGATTATTGTTACTAATTTGAGGTTGAGAAGTGCCCATCATCATATGGTTGGAATTTCCCGATATCAAGCTGGTAACGCTATGATCTGAGGAATTGTTGCAGCTCATTAGCATTTCATGGCCTGTTAAATTATTTTGGTTGTTGGAGCCATACATGCCCGTATTATTCACTGTGCTGAGCATCATATTATTCGCATTGTTCACATTCATGCCGTGCATCATATTTCCTGAAGTAATATTTATATTGTTACTTGTATTTAAAGAGGAACAAATGTCGAATGTTTGCTGATTATTAGGGAATTGTACATTGTTGCTGGAACAGCTGCCAGTACATGAATTTTGTATTTCATTTTTTATGTCTGGAATATTATGCATCAATGGACTATTTATAGACGGATGATTTGCGTTTGTAATTTGCATCGTATTGTTCAGATTATGCATGTTCATATTGCTCATGTTATTCATCTGATGCTGCATTAGAGACGCGTGTGAGTCAATGGAGTTCCTGTTGTTTTGCATTTGATTGATTGTATTTTGCATGGACATGGTGTTGTTATCATGTCGATTACCGTGGATGTTGGACATAGAGCTCGAGTTTTCAATTTGATTACTTAAATTCATATGTGAGGCGTTGCCCGACATATGATGCATGTGCAAACTGTTCTCCATATGTTGCCTATTATGCATTTGATTCGGTACATGCTGGTGTATATTCATCAGGTTACTGTCGATATGCGGTCTATTGTTTTGCATCTGCATTATATTGGTCATTTGATGTTGATGATGAAGGGACACAGAGTCCATCTGCCTATTTTGTGACATCGACATTTGCTGATTCATATGCATATTATTATCTATACGATTGCTGGTATTATTCATATGGTGATTCATTTGTTGCATGTTGTGCATTTGTGTACTATGGACGCTATCAATGGGTCTGTTACTATGCATTTGATGATTTATATTGTTTACTGCTTGCGATTGCATGTTGTCCATAATCATGCGATTGTTCTGCACATTTCCCATATTGGAAATAGGTTGCTGCACATGCATGTGGTTGAGATCGTTCAAATCGGCGCGATTAATATTATGACTGCCTCCTAAAGTGTGCATACCTATGGACTGATTCATCATATTAGTACTTTCCGAATTGTTTCGGTTTGAAAGCATATTTGTCTGATTATGGCTTTGCTGCTGCACATTCTCGTGGAACGATCTGTTAGCACTTCCCTGATTTGCTTGTTGCATCTGATTCATGTTTTCTACTTGGCGATTATGTTGAATTTGTCCATTCATTATATGAATTTGATTCGGAGATGAAAGTTGACTGTTTTCGTGCGATATCATCGGCATAGTACTGAGAGACATATTTGACGATGATAACGTATTATTGCTGATTTCGTGTTGACTTTGCTGTACACTGTTATCACTGGAAACCGTAATAACTCTGCTGTTATTAGCGACCTCCTGACATGATATGTTTACATTATGAAGGGAATTATTACCAACATTCAATAATTGCGAAGTGCCATGACAGTTTGTAGAGTTCATTTGACTTTGGTTATTTGATACTGGGATGGTAATCTGGTTATTTTGCATTTGTGTTCTCATCACATTATGAGGTATTATGCTGATAGAAGGCGTGTTCGCAATGCTTCCGGCGATTTGACAGCTGTTCAGTTTGTGTAAATTAATTTGTCCTCCGACATTATCAGCACCATGTTTATTATTACTATCCGCTACAGAGACATTCTGGAAACATTTTTCATTTTGGCTGTGTTGCGAATGGGAAGCAATCATGTCTTGTGAAAATGTCAAATGGCCACTTTCAGATTTAGAAAGAGTATTAATTTTATTCAGTTTCAATGATGTATCAGAATCAAAATTGGTATTTATAGCAGAGTTCGGTGGGTAGATATTCCCTGCGGTAATTTGAATCACATTGTTGGACGTCGGCTGTGACGTAGAATGTAGACTTACATTGTGATTGTTTTCAAACTGAGAATGCAGGTTTATTCCCGAAATTTGACTGTTGGTATTGTTTGACATGGACACCAAACAATTTTGATTAATTTTTTCATGTTCGTTAAGTGACCTTCCAGTCGTTACGTTGGTTTGAATACTCATAGATGGTGTGTTTCCAGACGTACTTGTTTTTGCTATTAAATTTTGTACATCAATCTTTTCTATATTGCCGGTGCTCAGAGGAGGATTCATTTGTCTCCAAGGAGTCGGTGATTTGATACTCTGAGTTACGCTGATAGTTGGTACAGTTGAAGAATTTGAATTATCTTGTAAATTACCGCTAATTTCTATAACATGAGAATTTTCAATTTTTATAGTGTTCTTATTTGTTGAGGGCGCTGTTGAATTTGAGAGAAGTGGTTGCGATAGTGGCATTGAATGCATTGTAAAGGAAGACGGTGCATTTGGCACAGATTGTGAAAGGGCCATAACTGGTTGACCTGTGGAAGATACTAGAGTCACGTTCGGTGCCATAGAATTGTTATTTATCTTTGAATTGTTAATTCTGGTTAAGTTCTGAGCTGAATTCGACAGCGACATACTATGAATTTGCGACGTAATTGGTGTTATGTTCTGCCTGCCAGTTATAATCGTCCCAGGAACCGATTGAGATCCAGCTGATACAGGAGTTGTACTAACGTGAACTACCTTTGGAGTTTGCCTGTTTGAATTATTGCTGGAACCTTTCTCTGGTAGAGGTTGTACTGTCAAATTAGGAACATTTGGCTTAACCGTCTTGATTGTTTGCGGTGTTGACTGCACTGACTGCGCAGTGACTACATTCGGTGTGGAAGATTGCACTGTAACACCGTCACCAACATTATTAACGACTACGTATCCAGTAGGAACTTCTACAATCGGTTCTATCTTACTGGCTTGGAAAACTTGAGTGGTTGTGGCTGAAAAACTGCTGTTTTGTGCAAGCACCCCTTGCATTGCTGTAGATACGAATTGTTGGGAAGACATTACCGTATTCTGTACTATGGTTTCTAATCCGTAATACACAGGCTGTGTAGTCGTCAGGTACATACAGCCAGAAGGATCTGTTACCATTTCTAAAGTTGGCGTCGACCCTAAAATCACTTGGTCATTACAGAACTGTGGTAAAATTGTTCCTTGAGGTAATATTGTTCCTGGTCCAGAAGAAATCAAAGTATTCCCTTGTGAAGAAAGTGCATTCGGTATAATGGTCGTTTGGCCATTGCCAGTAGCTGCTGCCGTTTGCAAAGTGTTATTTGGCAAGAGCGTCGCTGTTTGAGAGGTTATATTACTAGGTGTAAGCCCCTGAATTGTTCCTTGAGGTATGATGGTCGTGCCATTCTGAGTATGAATTGCTTGTGGTAAAATAGTCGGACCATTAGGTCCTTGTGATATAATTCCTTGCGTTTGTATAGCACCTTGAGGTAAAATTGTATGTCCTTGTGGTAAGATGCCAACATTTCCCTGAGGTAACAAAACGGGAATGCCGCCGCTGGGAACAGCTACTAATCCGCCAGATTCAGTTTGTTGTATTTGGAATGTCTGAGGTACTAGACCACTTTGTGATATGAATTGGCCAGTTTTGAAGTCACCTTGAGGCGTAATCGTAGCGATGTACTGCATATTCTGATTCTGTTGCTGGGATAATGCTTCAACATAAGACATTATATTTTGATTTGCTACTGGTTGAACGATAATGGATGGTTGACCAGTTTGATTATTAGTTTGAAGTTGTATCACAGTGTTTCCTGATCCAAGTTGTGACTGATTGATAGCAGTGTACGACTTTTCCACCTTAGTCTGCCGTTTAATTGTCGTTGGTTTAGGTATAGGACGACCCCGCCCTCGATTTGACCCTTGGAATATTTGCTTGGGTTGTACAGAGGCTGGCTGCTTCTTGGGAGATTTCTGAGAATTCCCTGGTAGTATCAACTGCTGCTTGTTTTGCGAGTTTGGTGAAGAAATTCTTTGCGTTGTCACTGCCGGTACAACAATCGTAGGATTGCCTTGCATTTGGGGTCTTATCATTGGCTGGATGTTTTGAATTATTGAGGTGTTAGGCATTCCTTGTATAGAATTGACCGGCATCGCAATGGATGATGCACTGACTAAATTCGGAAAACTTGTAACTTGATTTTTCCCCTGAATCATAGGTGTGATGTTACTGGGACCATTGGAAGGAATTGTTAAAACTTGATTTGAATTCGACGAAATAACTTGAATTCCAGGTCCTGATAAGAACTGTGTCATATCTGCACCACCAGGAATTTGTTGGATATTTGCATGTCCGTTTCCAGATTTTGCTACACAAATATTGTGTGGTAAAATTCCAGGCTGTGTAATAATCTGCGGAATTAAAAGTTTTTGTCCACTAGCTGAACTTGTTTTTGGAGGCAGTAACATCTGCGGGGTTACAACGATTTGAGGTGAAGACAAAACTTGTTGATTTGTTGAAACCTGAACATTTGTAGTTTTACTTTGATCAAATATTACAGTTCCTGATTTCATCTGTTCCGTTATAGTCATTGTTACTTCATTGGAAGACGGACCTGGAGATGGTGTTTCGACTATAGTTCCATTGATAGTAATCTGCCGTGTATTAATGGACGTTCGCCTAGCAGAAATACCTTCTGCTTTAACGGTATTTTCATTGCCGCTGACAACGCCAGTGTGAATTATCATTGGTTGAGCAAAAGCTCCTTGAAAAGCGTTTTGCAGAGTTGTTAATGTTCTGTTTTCGGGCGACTTAGGATTTTCACTCTCACTTTCGCTCGTGGACATCATGTCGCACGAAGGCACGTGTCTATCGTATGACTCTTTATTTCTATACGTGCATTGGCAACGATCACATCGCACAAGGTGCTCGATTTGAGGTGATGATACGGAACCATCATCTAATGGTCTCATAACAAGCTCTGGTTGACCACTTATTGAATTACCAGCTATGGTAACAGTGTATGTGCTCTCATTACCACTGGCTCTGTAGAGGAACTGATTCGGTTGATTTCTTGCAGCGTTATCGCCTGGTTGGTTTTCTTCAGCTCCGTCTAATTGTTGTATGGGTGTAAAGTCATAATCATTGTCACTCTGTCGAGGGCTATTCGGTCGCGAGCTGCAAGTACTCTCGGAACCAGACCAATCAGCTGCGCCGTCTAATTGTGATATAGGACTGCATTGTATCTTAGTATAAAAGTCAATGACGTCAGTGTAATAGCCCTCTGTTTTATCAGATTTGTCATTGCTAATGTCATCTTTTTCTTTTGGTGAAGTTGTGCGGTAATTTAAGCCTGAAGAATGTGGGCTGTCTTCACATATTGTGTCGCTATCACTGATTTCTGTTTTCAATTTCTTATCAGACTCGACTTTTATAGCATCTAATGGATTCTCGAGCAAAGTAAGTCTTTGTACAGGACTAAGTTTACCAGTGACTGTTGAAGTTCTGCCTATTTTACATCGTTTTATTGTGGAAGACAAAACAGTGTCAAATTTGTTACTCCATGTTAGACTACTGGATCTTTGTTGACCGCGTCCAGTAGTCAGTGACTTTAAATTATGGTTTTGTAACAACATTTCTGATTTACTTTTTTTCAATTCTTTGTTGCCTGACTCCAATCGTGCATTAAGTAATTCATCAATAAAATCTGATCTATCGTTACTTTTGTCATCGGATTGTGAGATCGCACTGTAGAATTCACTTTTCAAATCCATTGCCACTAAATCATCGTAAGGGTTTGGAAAGATATCTTGCATGGATATACCGTCAAGAAGGTCATGATTCAAGTCTTCAAATATGGCATCTTTCAGCTCCGGCGGTAATAAATCTGCAGTGTTTTGAGGCTCTTCTTCATCTTGTTGCTCTTGCTTGCATACATTGTCCAATAAATATTCAACTACCTGTTTAACGGCAAGATCTTCTAAAGTAATCATATTTCCCAATTTAACTGGTGACTTGTCACTTTTAAGCATAAGTACGCTCTTGCTTGATCCAGTTTCTAAACTTTCATGCCAAGCTCCAATTTCAGCCATAACCCTATCTACAATTTGCATATCCTTGGAGTGATCAACAGTTATATTTACACCGAAATCAAATCCAGGCAAAGGTTCAGCTAACAATAGTTTTGTTTTTATTGTATATCGCACAATTTTAGAAGGCTTTTTGCAGGACCAGAAAAGACGAGTGCACGAAAAATCAACCGGCATCAAGAAATCTTCAAAGTCTGAAACAGTTGGCACTATCTTTCCAAGGCTGTGGATAGTCAGTGATCCCAATACAAACTGTACTTTCGATATTTCGCTGTACCTCTTCTTTTTCTTGTCGAGCTCAACGTAAACTGGCCTTGTCAACTCAAAATCAGTATCTTTTTGCAAGGTTTTTCTTGGGACATCTTTGCCATGCGCAGGACAAAATACTCTTTTGTCATCCATGAACGCACAGCCTTCTCTTCTTGCACATGCATAATGATACGTCTCGCTGCAATTTTTGGCACAGCAACCGACACTGGCACCTTTCATCTCGCAGGATGCACATTTTATCATTTTACCTCTTGATATAGCTGAGTGAACATTCTGCAAAGAACCATCTATTTCTTCAAACACTTCAGCAGACCAAAGAGCGCAGTTGGCGTGTATCCAGTCATTCTGACCGCAGTACAATAGTCGGCCTTCCATCTCAGATTGCCCGTCGCCGATGGTTTTGCAAAGTACACATATTCTTGAATCTAGAACTGGATAAAATTCTAGTAAGTCCTCGTCGCTCTGTGCATCTGATTCTAGTTTTGGTACAATCTGATCCACTGGCTTCTCTACAGACTCAATTATTGCTTTACTGTCTAAAATATCTTGATCCTTTAGAGACTCCATGTCGTCTTGTTCTCCATCCACTTCTAAATTAGGCTGCAGGCAGTTGTTACCACAATCAAACCATGGAAATGTTTCCGTGAATAGTTCTTTGTATATTATTTTGAGATCTTCACTTGAAGTTCTTTCAATAACATCTCTCATATCATGATTGAAATCTTTCAGTGAGACGTATTCGTCGCTATTTACCCTCTTTTTGATGTCTAACAGAGAAGGAGAATTAATTCTAATATCGCTATTATGCTCAGTCAGCCTTACAAGCGCAGGACTCAAATCTTGTTCACTACGGGCTTCTGGAAAGATCCTCATGGGTTCATCATCGTCAGAGATAGCCTCATATTTATCGTCATGAATAGTCGTAGGCAACATCGTAGTCGCCTTTTCGGTCTTAGTTTGAGGTGGGTTGTTCTCATGAACTTCAATACAAGGTGTGTCAAACTCTGTCCTTGTGCCATACAGACCAGTAGAGAAGCATATCTCCTTATTTTGCATCAAAGGTTCTTGAAGATTAACCACTCTGTGGGAAGTGTGCGGGATGTCCTCTTTTCCTATGTTCAATAGGGAGGAGCAATGCCATATATGCGGTGTCATGGTCTGCTCAGTCTTATTTGGAGCTAAATTATTGTTCCTCCGACCCCGCGAAGTATTTCTATAAACCTTTGTCTCGGTTGCGTTCTTCATTGATTCGTCTTCACCGTCAAAGTGAAGCTTTCGAATAGCCTGTGGCGACATGAGCCTGTACGGTTTATTAGGCACTGGAGTATTTTTGTGAGGTGTGAGCTTTAACAACGCACAAGCCTTTTTGTTCTTGGCCAGCAGTTTGAGTAGATGTAAGAGCCTTGATTTGAGGTGTTCCATAAGCATATTTCTCCACGGCGGGTCTTGCGGCATACATTTGCAGCAAATATACTCTATAGACGGAGGCAAAGCAGACAAAAGTTGATATCCCTCTCCTGTTAGACCTTCGCAGCTTGCGTGCACCCACCTACCGCACCACCCGCACTCCATCATCTGAAAGAAAACAATAGCAATATAAATTTAAATGAATTACTGATCTATTAATGAGTTCTGCATATAGTGTGAGATAGTTATGTATCGTGAATAGTGCAGTCTACAGAAGAAGCAATCATGTTAGCTCTTACATGTGTATTTTTTTGTATTTAATATCATACATTCTAGATTCTGAAAATATTCTCTATAAACTTCTGTACGGTTTATAACCGCACATTTTAGTTCCGCTTACTTTGCGTCCTACTTTCCACGGCCGTTTGTTTACTTGTGCGCATAAGCAGTCAATTAAATTAGTATTTAACGAACATTCAGTCAATTTAGACGTATCAACAACAACGTAAGAGATACACAGCCTCATCTAGCTTGTATCCTTACCAATACACTTTTACAACTTATCTATTAGGCGTCAATACTATAGCGTAGTATTGGCCCATACATCGTTTTGGTCCTTCGAGTCGGATTGTTAGTATTGTGTTGGTCTCTGTGGTAACGAACCGGTGTAGTTGGCCTCCCACAAGCGCGTCTCACCAATTACATTGAGAAAAACATTTACGAACGCTGAAGCTGGCAGACCCCTATTTTAAGTCTCCAGGTCCCATCGACATGGTATTGGGGGCAGACATTTATTCTGTTATTATTCAAGATGGAGTACTAAAGTACGATAACAGCAATCCTGTGGCTCAGCACACCAAATTGGGATGGGTTTTGAGCGGGAATTTTAGCAAAACCTTGAACTGTTTTGTCACTTTAAACGAAGTAGACGATTTGAGCAAAATTTGGGGGAACAGAAGAATATACGAAGACAGCATGTCAACCGATAGCGACGATTACTGTGAGAAGTATTTTGTTGAAACCACTACGAGGCTACCCGCTTGCCAATACGTAGTAAAAATGCCCATGATAAAGGATGTTCAAGAAAAATTGGGAAATCAAAACCGCAAGCAGTCTCTCAATTTTTACAGTTATTAGCAAAAAATGGCACGGCAAGAGCATTTCGCTAAACAATATACGAAAAAAAATTTATCGCTGAATATCATGACCTTGGACATATAACATCCGCTGCGCCTACTACAGCTTATCAATGTTTACAAGGTTTTTTACCGCATCATGGAGTTATTCGTGAAGAGTAAAGCACGATTAAGCTACGCGCAATATTTAACGCGTTGATGAAAACTGATACCAAATACAGCCTTAACGATGTAATGAAGAAAGGACCAAATGTACAGAAGGACATCTCAACCTTATGATGAAGTGGCGAAGAAAGCGTTTCGCTCTCACAGCTGATATAGAGAAGATGTTCCGTCCAATTTTACTTCATAAGGACCAACGGTCCCTACAAAAAAATATCAGGCGCCCATCTCCACGCGACGCTTTGCAAGAAATGGAGTTTTGCACTGTTACATACGGAACAAAAGCGGCACCTTTCTTAGCGATGCGTACACTACAATAGCTAGCAAACAACGAAGGCCACACGTATCCCATAACGGAACAGGCGTTACAGGCGTTATAGGCGTCACCAATTTTACATGAATGACGCTGTGGAAAAAGCGCGCGAGCTATAAAAACAACTCCATGACCTATTGAAAAAAGGAAGATTCATATTGCGAAAATAAGCAAACAAACGAATCTTCTATTCTTCAAAATGTAAAAGAAAATTAAAAAGATCTATCGTCAAATTTAAGCAGGATTCCTTAATGAAAACTTTGGGCATTGGATGGAAAACAGCAAAAGATGTTTGCCACGGCTGGCTAGCACCTATCATCATGGGGACGAAGATTTTATTCCAATTACTATGGAGCAACAACTTAGCGTAGGATAAACATCATAGTGTAGCAACAAATTGGGAAAAGATTTGATCCGAATTAAATGAAATAAAAAACATAACAATACCTAGAAGGATAAACGGCACAAACGAGCGTATCGAGTTACACGGCTTCAGTGACGCGAGTGAAAAGGCGCATGTATGCGTCATATATATAATAAAAAGTCAGTGAATGTCCGCGGTGAATACGCCACTACTTTGCTTACATCCAAAACAAAGGTGGCTCCACTGAAGAAAAGGATTACATTCCCAGATTAGAGTTTTGCGGAGCTCTTTTACTCTCCAAGCTTATGGAGAAAGTTATACCTGTTTTTTCCCATAACCTACTCGATGTCCATTGCTGGACAGACCCAATAGTGGTGTTAGCTTGGCTACAGGGAAGTAATAAGAAATGGAAAACAATATATAGCAACAGAGTGATGAAAATCACTGAAATCATGCAGCATCTGAGTGGCGTTACGTAAACACTAAAGAAAATCCAGCCAACTGCGCAACGCGTGGACTTTTCCTCTCGCAACTAGTAAACTTTTCTTTGTGGTGGGAAGGACCTCATTGGCTCGGAACTGAAGAAAAAGTCTACAAGTCTGCAATATTTTCGACAGATGAAGGATTGATGTTCGAGTGCTGTAACTAAGCAACAGAGTAGCGATGACGAAAGCAGTGAGACGTCATCAAACAGCTGTTCGAATATCATAGTTCGATAACACGTGCCACCCGGTGCCTCACTTGGATGTTACGTTTCATCGCGAGAATACGTTACGAGGTGCAAGCGAGTAAACAAAGAAACAAGTGACGCGGCTGGACGTATTTTAAAACAAACGCGGCGTAAGTACTTCAATGAGGAAATAAACAGCCTACACATACCACTCACGAGGGATGAAGAATATAAACTTTATAGAGTAATTAACTGCCTCCGTGGCCGAATGGTTACCATGCCGGGCTGCCACGCAGAGGTCCCAGGTTCGATTCCCGGGCCGGGTGAAATATTTGTATGACCTACATTTATTTCTCTCGTGAGTTTGGGTGTAATTTGTGGTTGTCTATGTGTGTGTCCATGGCACCCGCGACACAGGGTTTCCCTAGTGTGGGGCTATGTTGAGTGTGTGCGTTATTATTATTATAATTCCGCTACCAGTGTACCAACCTGACGGTGACGTCACAGTAGCGCACTCTTCCTCAACACAATATATCGCTATCAATCGACGACAGAAAACTTACATTTCTGTCGAGGGAGAAGAGCTTCATCAATATATGCAATTGAAAGTGGACAGCTGCTATATAAGTAACATTAATTACCCTGTGTATAATTTGCAGAGCATAAACGCACCGTGTAAGGCAAAAATACTAGCACAACAATCTAACATACACTATGATGCAAAACTAGATCGATGTAACGACGATTGGATCAAATTACACCAAAGTCACCGCTGGCTTTACGTACGTTGCAACAACTGCCGTACGAGTATCATAGGAGAAAAGTAAAATATTCAAATTATAACGAATCTAACTGTAGTCGGAATACTCAACTTATCGGATGGATGAGCCTTTCAAACACAGGACTCTGAAACCTACTTATATACGCACTTTGGGTATCCGATATACCAAACATCAATCTGCATATGAACCAACAAGTTGGCTTAAACATCAATACGAGCAAGACCTATCTGTCCACTACACTAAATAACAGCGGGATCCACGAACGTCTTGACGAACAGTTGATTCGACAAAGAACAAACGAACAGTTGATTCGACAAAGAACAAACGAACACCTTCCAACGATCTATCGACACACCATGTACATCAGATTGTGGTCCTCTACGTTCTAGTGGGAACAGCTTGCGTTGCAATCGTTTGTGTAGCCACGAATAAACTTCAAAAGCGTTGTAAGAAGCGGTCGGAGACACGAGGAAGGACAACAAAGGCCAACGCCGTGCTGCGCCCATCTTCCGGCACTACCACTTCAAATACTTTGCAATCTAGCCCCTTATATTAATAAGTCAATCGCGCACCTGAGAAACCAAAGCGACTCTTTGATTTTAACTCTGCCGGGATAGAGACATCTTGAATTCCATATTTAAGAAACACACATTTGTACAGGTTGATGTTCGTCTTACATTGTTGTTCGTTATATTATCCTTTTTTGTCCTTGACAGGTTGTTTAAAACCGCACATTTTAGTTCCGTTTACGTTGCATCCTACCTGTGCGCCTGTGTTTGTGTGTGAATAGGCAATTAAATCAGAGTTTAACGAACATTCAGTAAATTTAGACATTTAACAACTTACAACAACGTAAGAGATACACAGTCTCAGCTAGCTTGTATAAGTATAAAATTGGTAAGGACCAATAAACTTTTATTACTTATCTATCTATTTAAACAATTAGGCGTCAGTACTAATCAAATGATAAAATGATGTGATACTATAGCGTGCTATTGGCCTCTATAAATACTTTACCTTGCTATCGAAATCGTTGTCTCTGTAACAAGCCTGGCACAAAGGGCAATAGTTGCCTTTTTGTCGGAGTTTGAAACAGGAGCCGCAAAATGGTAGGCTTCCCACGAATTTGCTGACGCGACTACTGTCGCAACTCTTACATTTCAGGCATGCGCGACAAATCTGCAAGTAGAAATTATCGAACCTCAGATTAAGTCACTGCAATCAACTAACTTCACATAAATAACTTACGTTTTATTAAAGACACCTTATAAGTATTCAGTAGATCCATTAAAATAAAAGTAAAAAAAGATTTCTTAAAATTTTATATCCAATCGCAGTTTGAATATTTTTAGAACATCTATTACACTGTACAGCAAATTTAAAATATCTGTGTAGTTTAGGCCCTAAAACTTCTTGAAATAAAAAAGGACATAGTGAACATTTTCGAGATTGTCTATTGACTTCCTGAAATAGAAGTATAATATCATTGTGAAATACAGATATCCACCTCGACTATCTGTGTAGGTGCCGAAGACAATTAAATAAAAAGAAGTAATTACGCCTTGCCACGGGAGCTGAGTAACGAAGGGAGCATAAATAAGTTATAAGTGTTTATTTCTACAGGTAAAAAAAAAAACCATATAATACACGACTTTTTTATTTATGCGCATTAATTTGAAGCAATAAGCAAATAATGAGAAAAATAATCGTATCGCTTAAATGTAAAAGAACACAAAACGCCGAAACAATGTGAGATAAAATGATAATACATTATTAATATACGTACACAAACAATAAATTAAGCAATGATAGCCTAGATGGGAGAAAGCTTGTCTCTTAAGAACAGGATTCAAATTTCAATTCTCACTAGGGACTTGCACGAATTGCAGTATTTACATCACTTGAAATTACAGTTTATTTGCTTTTAACGCGAAGCAATACGTTTTAAGTAAACGTGCACGTTGGAGAAAATTTACAAAACTCTTTAAAAGCATGGGAAGTCTCCAACGCTTCTTCTTTATTCTTCGTTGATAAAATAAATATAAACAAACAAACAGGTAATTTACTTCAAATTTACCTTTAAACGCAAATGCAATTATGTGATCTTATTATAAAAGGCAGTCATAGAATTCGCAAAAGCACATCGTAATCATCGGAAATATGTTATATGGACACGCGTCAATATTTCGCTAGGCTCCCTATAATGCTACATAAACATAATGCAACTTAAAATTGTATAAGAGTTATATAAATATAATTTATTAATTGTTTTTTTTTAAATTTTTGGCTAATCGCGGTAACCCATTGATCTCATGTACCGGTAACCGTTTAATTTACTTTACGAATTTCGTTATAATTATTATATTTTCGTTTGTTTTCATGTCGAGCATAAAAGTTTATATCATATTGTCTCGAACGTTATAACTTTCTTTTGTCAAACTACTCAATACAACATATAAAATTATTTGCAATCTTGCAATCGGCCAAATAGATGACCTTGCCTCAAACACAGCTACATTTCCTCGAATATAACACAAATGAATAAAGACTAAATAAACAGGCCCAAAAATAATAAACAGGCTCAAAAATTCAGTTATAAATTACAATAGGGAAACGATCACCAAAAGTCAACCAGTAGTTACTGATACATACAAGGAAAACAGAACACGTCCCTTAATGGTTGCAAATGAACACGCAGGCAGCTGCTAGTGCGCTTTAAAATCGCTATTTGCTTTCTCTTTAATCACAAAATATACGATTTAAGATCAATATACCCTAAAGCAGAGAAATAAAAAATTGTTGAAAATTATTGCGATTTCACAACATCATTAGCATTAATTAATAGTAGTTTCGACTGTACGGTGTTCCAAATACTTATTAATGATAGTATGATAACTGTGAATATTTCTTAGTTCTGATTTACAACCAAAAATGATACATTAGATAGGTGTGTAGTGAGTACACTGCGTGGTGACTGACTGAGAATTATTATAAATTTAACTAAATGTCGCATGAATACGCAAAATGCTGCATAAACACAATGTACGGTCTTGCATGCTACATCGACACTGCAAGGATGATCATGGAGGAGTACATTTTTTTTGTTGGTAGATGACGACGATGATATTTTTATTTATTTTTATATTTTAGGTTATATTAGGCAACGGAAAATTGGAAAAACTGCCTAGTAATGTAAAAGGAATCACCAAGCCAAAGGTATCTTTACAAATATCTAGAAAATGTTCACATTTGGAAATTGCGATTTGTGCGATCAGTTTTGATTTTCTAATACTTTGCTGTCTGTCCAACGACATATGCGACGTCTTAAGTAGAACACAATTAATCTACGCGTAATTCTGAGCTTTCAAATTAAAGTACCTGCGGCCAATCACTGCGATGATCAGGTGGCGCAGCGGGTAGGCACGCGGCGTGGTAGTGTCGCGCGCAGCTGCGGCAGCGTAAACGTGCTGCGCCGCGGGAACAAGCCGCGCAAGCCACGCAACGCGCGCACATCCAGCCGCTGCCACCCGGCGCGTCTTCCGCACACCAACTGTGGTACCACTCACAGCAACTCGAACATACTAGCATCTACAAGACAATTACATCAAACATTAGTGTCAGGTCCTTGAAAAGGATAAAAAATCAAACTATCGTCTTGTTTCTCACCTTTTCTTGGCCAGCGCTTCCGCACAAGAAGCATAATCTTGCGATAGTAAAGGATGTTGTCCCGATTAGGCCAAAACCAGAATTGCAAACTTCATCTGGATCATAGCTTTCCCAAAAATCTACACAAATCAATTCTGATTGTGAACGGTTCTGTCCGTATTTTTGCGAGCGGCCACGTACCTGAACAAAAAAAGAAAGAATTTGTAAGGTGTTTTGACGATGTAGTTAACAAGCTGATCCCACTTCTCAGAAGTGTAATTTGGGCCATAACTGAAGAAAAAACAGCTTACTTACATTGGTAATATTTGTTAAAGGTTTCATTGTAGCCTTTTTTGGAAGCAAATCCATAATAGTTTCATCTTCACTGGATTCTGATTTAGTTGACTTGGCCAGCGCCAAGGGTTCCGTCTTTTTCTTTTTACTTTCAGGTTGCGTTTCTGCATCAGTTTCCTTTGCGACGATTGGCTCGATCAGTGGTGGAGGCACTTTGTTTTCTGCATCGACTTCCGAATCCCCACTAGACAAATCAGAAAATGCAGTATCTTTGTCCATAGACGACATTGAGTTGGAGTCGTCATCAAAAGGAATCTTGTCTGATTTGTCTTTTTCTTCCTGCACAGGGAATGTCGCAATAGGTTGTCCCAAAACAATAGATGCGCTTCGGCAAACATGTTTGACACGCGGACCTTTAAGTTCAACTTTCTGTCTTTTAGGATCTTCGGCTTGCTTTGATTCACTTTTATCTTTCTTCCTCACTTTAACCCTCGTCAAGCGGCGTTTTCTGCTTGTACTGAACTCTTCATTTGTTTCAAGTGGTTCAGGTCTGTCTTTTTGCACTTTATCCTGTAACATAAACACAAAAATTTGGTTATGTGCCATTTCTTAAAAAGCTATATGAAATTCAAGTCTATGTGGTAATTTCTTTATTTACCTCTTTTTCAGGTTTCTCAGCCTCGTCATGTGTCTTCTTTGTTGACTTCCCTGGTCCAAACACTGTATTCTCGTTTTCATTTGCTGTAATAGCAGCAAACACAGATTGTCCACCAGAAATGTTATTAGATGCAGCTCTTACAGGATTTACTGGAGTAATAGGTCCCGTATGTGCAGAACCTGCTCTCATGTAAGGGGGCAACATAGCAGTTAGGGTAGTTCTTATATCTGATGGAACTTGGAAAGCTTTAAGGCACAACTTTAACCAACAGGCTGGACATCGAGAATTGTTCGCGCAACGGAGCAGCTTCCACTGTTGGGACCGAACTACTGGTGGAACATGACAAATACCTAAAAAAACAAAAGCTTGTAATTTAGTGGGGCTTTGGGTATAGAGGAGAAACACAAACAAATATGAAATTTAAATAATTGAAAAGAAAAACTCATTTTCAAAAGAATGATTTCATATGCTCATATCTGGCCGAGTTTAATAAAAATAAAATTAAGTTAATTAAAAGACAGTTACCTTCGCCTTTTAAGCACTGCATCACGATTGGCTCTGTTCTTTGCGGTAATTTCTCCTTTTTCAGCAACTTTGAGATGAATTTGCGACAAGATTCACATGAGTATATTCCGAACTTTCTTGCTTGCTTTACAAATCTGTAGAATCGCACTGCGCCACAAACACCACATGTTACTGTTGTTGGAGGAGTTGGTGCTGTAAAAGTTAATTAAATTAAAAATAATTGCATATTTCTAAAGTTTAATTTATATAAATGTCCACTAAAGAAACAGGAACAAATAGATAAAGAATAACTTACAAGAAGAAGCAGGAGGAGCAGAAAATGGACCATCCAGTCCTGGTGATGTCTGAACTGGAGAGCTCAATTGCAACCTAGCTTCTCTGATGATCACTTTACCACTCAGCAGTTGAGAAGCAGATGTCTTTTCTCTTTCTGGACTGGACGTAGCAGATTTATTTTCTTCGTCGCCACTAGCTAAAGGACTGTCGCTGTCCCAACTCTCTTCAGATTCCGAATCACTAGTCGTACTGGACGAGCTGCTGCTAGCATCTGAGATGTCCATCAACTTTCTCATGGCATGACCTCCCTTATCCTCTTTAGAAGATTCTACAGCTTTCAAATTCTCAGATTCCTCCAGATTAGAATTCTCGTCCTGTGATTGATCTTCTTTCTCATATGAAAAAACATCGTTTGAAGCCTTTCTTGAACCTGAATTAAGGCCAGAGAAAGAAGTTACTGTCTTATCTTTGAACAAACTTGAACTTGTAGAAGCCAACAGTTGCTTGTCTTTAGCCTTTTCATTGTCAAGTCCCTTTTCACATTTCTCTGCAGCTTCATCCCCATCAGGAATATTGTTGAACACTAACCTCTTCAGTTTAGGCTTCTTGAGAACTTTACAGGAGTTGACTGCTGTAGCAACTGCTGTTTGATCCTCTCCTTCCACAAATCTTTTATTTGGTTTGATGACACGAGATGAGTGAGAACTCCTCATTAGAAATTTGGAATTCCCATTGTCTTTTTCTATGGGTGATACAGTTCTAGGTGGAGGTGAAACTGGGCGACCATCACCAAAGTTAGCAAATTTATTTCCAGATTTAGATAACGGATTCAAATTTTTCTTTAAGTAGCCTTCTTGATATTCTGATGTCGACCTTGAACTCAAATCAGTGAGCTTAGCAGGTTTGAGGATACTGTTGAATGTAGAGTATTCTGTTTGTTTGAGTGCCGATTTCTTCTTGATAATGGGCACAAGAGGGGCATGGTGTTTTAGTGGAAGCTTTTTCAGAGGCAAAAAGATGTCCTCACAGCTTTCAACTGTGCCAAAGGTGACAGTCTTCTTAACGGGTTTGGGTTTATCAGGTTTTGGTGGATCCATTTTATTCTGCAACCGAGTACGCACCGGCGACTTACATGAATCACTGTTATCTTTTTCAACAAAGTCCTCTTCACTACTCTGTGTACTTTCATCTAGTTTAATTTCACTGGTTGGGATCTTATCATTATTGTTTTCTTTCTTTTCTTCTTCCTGCAACAAAGTAGGGAGACATATACATATAAATATCTGAAATATATATTTAATTATAAATTGCATACTGCGGTGTCTGCAGCAACTAATTTATTTAAATTTCTACGTCAAAATATTTTATCACCAGGTAAAGCCTGAAAACCAGCATCTTGCTGAGGCTGTAACCTTTTCTTCATTACAGACCTTTTAAGTTATTATTTTAAGTGTTTATGTATTGTTTCCTGTGTTGAAGAATAAAGTCCCTTTTATTTTTTATTATTTTTTTTTATATAGTATAGGACAGCCTATTGCAATGAAATGTATACATACGGTGAAGTTCAAATTCAACTTTCATAGCAATGTGTTCAAATCATAAAATATTTTACACAAATAATAGTCTGTGTTAGCAAGTGTTTATGTGTTAAAAATTTAAATATTTACCAAGATAATTTGATAATTACATGTAAACATTATATTGTGGACTGTAAGCTTAAGTATTTGGTTACATTCATAAAAAATAAGCTTCTCTTCCACGTGATGACGCCTGTCATAGACGTGATGCCTATTTTGCTGTTTTCACCCTATTACAACCTCACAAACACTAAGTCCTCGAACACTACCTCAAGACAAGACTGCATTGATTAATAATTTTGCTCAGTGTTTATGAAAACCACACATTAAATACATATAAAAGCCATTATGTCATGCATAAAGGCTCCCAGTGTTTAATGCTTGGTACAAATAGTAGTAAATTCATGATCTAATAAATATAAATCATCTCATAAGAAATATTTACGAAAATGTTTATTTATTTTCTAATAAACATTTTTTGTTTTTATTCAAATTATATAGTTTGTAAAGTAGGTTACTACTAGACTCATTACTTTCAGTCACCAAACTTAAAGGTAAATAATATAAACTTTGGACATTAACATATACTTTTAAAACCCTTCTATATACTTTTAAAAGGCTTTGAGGATGTAATATAACTGAAAGGTAACTTGGTCTACATGATATAGTGTACATCTTCTTTTTATCATTTACATCTTCTTAGGCTTTGCAACTAACTGGTTATTAATTATATATTTATGTGCATTACATGAAATCACATCAATAAGGATTAAAATTCTATAGATATTTCTAGTCTCTTACCATGATTGGTTCCAAGTTTTTTTTTCCATCCTCTAAGGTTGCACAGGGACCAATTGAGGTAAGAGACTAAAATGTCAGAAATGGCAAAAAACTTAGTACCAAGAACCAACAAAACAAAAACTGGTGCAGTCATGTCAAATAGAATAGTAAAAGGTAAACTGGTAAACTGATACTGGCTATGATCGCCATATTTTTTATATTATTCTTATAAAACTGACACGGGCACAAGCCTGAATTCCTTAGAGGATGGAAACTGAATTCAGACATTTATAACATAATTTTAGAAAACTTTCAAAATCAATAGATATGTTGATCATATTTATAAGTATAATATCATTGATTAGGATGAAATGCCATTTTCTGTCTTGAGAAAAATGTATTTTCAACAACACAATAACCGCTGAGCACATTTAAATTTCTTATGGTAAAGTTATTTGCACTTTTTGACATTACTAATACTTTTAACTTAGTTCATCCCATAAGGCCCATTGATTCTTACCAGAAATAGGATCAAATGTCATAAAAAAAATTGTGAATATGGCCTTTTATCTTGACGCCTGCAACAATTTTTAAAAATTTGTAAAACGAAATGAAATTTGTTAAAAATTCATGGATAGTTTTCTAGTATAATTTTCCTGTATATATGATCATTAAGGTAGCAGCTGCTGTTGCAGACCCGTGTCAAATTTGCACTCTATATATATTTCATTTCATGAATAGTGTACTGTAGCTTCACTGACGGTATTAAAAACGTTGATTTAGTATTTATTATATATTTATGCCATTTCTATATAGGACTATCACAATGTAAAAGAATATCCCAAAAAAAATATCTTCCATACAACCTAATGTCAAGTCAAGATACCTACATAAAACATCTGACAGTGTGCATTACATTTAATGCTTCATTTGATCATTTCAAACAAGTGCAGTACAGCATGTGTACATTGGGTGCATTACAGCACCAAAAAATTGAAAAGAAATCTCTCAGAAAACTTATCTCTTCCAGCTTTGTGAGACTGTTTTATAATGTAGTGCCCTCATAGTAACATACTTACTGACAGTCCACAAAGCTCAATTATTTTGTAAATTATGAATTGAACTGTATAATCATCAGATCAGTCAGTTACTCATTTCTCCATTTGAGTTCTAGTGCTGCAAGTTAAGTTTCTTAGCGCCATATAAAAACCTCAATCATTGATAAATTTATTACCAGCGTCATATAAAGTTTTTGCAAGAACCTAAGGTACCACTAGGGTTCACGGGTCTACTATTTGAGACAATGTTCAATATCTACCACTGAAATCATATGTCTAAGTAAAAATTGAGGAATGGAAATTGCCTAGTATTTTATCATACCTCTCAAAATAATGACCTGGTTGTCTATGCTCCAAAACATCTAAAAACAAAAAAATTGAGGGAAAGAAATTGCCCAATATCTTGTCATAGCTCTCATAATAGTGATCAGATGTCTATCCTCCAAAACATCTAAAAGCTTAATTGAAAAAACCAATATTTTTCAAATGCGAATGCTTAGCTTTTGTAATGATTTTATTTTGATTTGTTTGAACTTTTTGACGATCATACCAAATAGGAAAGGCCTTGTGAAATATAGTTCTTAAAATATAGAGCTATCAAATAAATGTCCACCTTATACCATTATAGTCAAGAAAATCAGCATGTGACTTTTCTGGCATTTCTGGCATTTTACTGCCAGAAACATCACATGCTGATTTTCTGGCAGTAAAATGCCATAAACATCATATACAATGGTTAATTATTTACTTGTAATAATGTTGTTTTTCACATGTAGGGATACATGTGAAAAAGCTACACCAATATTTTAAGTAAAAAGCAATTGATATTCCTATTTCACTAGCACAACGAGGATTAAACATAACAAATTAACCTAATAAATTAAAAAAAGAACAGGAATAACAAAAAAAAACAAAGCACACAAACATCATCATCATATTTACATATTCATCTTTTATTATTTTAGTTAGTGAAATTAGTACCCGTAATGTTAGTAAACAGACTTAAGCCTTGTAAACCTTAATATGTTTGTGTGCCTAATTTTTTAGTCAAGCTTATTGTAACTATTATTATACTTATTTGGTTAATATCAACTTTTGTACCACTTGAGTTCCCACAAGTAAACGAGTTAATGAATTTCTTGTTGTCTTCTAATATAAAAGTAATTTGTTCTTAAATCTTAGGTAGACACCGTATTTTGCATGAGTAAGGTAAACAAATTTTGCAATACATTTATTTGTGTCGGTACATTAGATGTCAGCAAAAATGTCTCTAGGGGTCAAACGTACATGATGGATTAGCAAAACAAGCTTCTTTAAAATTATGTCAATTGGTTACAGAAAGTGGGAACAAAATATAGGTCAATTACCTCACAATACTACAATTGCTAAAGCTTAGATATATTAATGTAATTAGAAGACACAGCTATTGTTGCTTATAGGTTATAATTAATGTTTCATATGCAAACAGTTAAAATAACAGTTTAATCATAACCCTGAACTTTACTAGCGACTATTAAAATTTCTATTATATTTTGACAGTACCTATCATACATATGGAACAAGATGGAACTCTTAAATGTCAAAGTATGAAAAGGCTTACGGCGTACCTACTGATTCGGTACGATTGGTGCCTTGTTAGGCTTGTGACCATTACGTAAACAGAACATTTCCGCAAGTACAATAAGTACTAATTTTATGTCACTACAACACATACAACATTAAAGCAAAGATAGATTTAGGTACCTCTTTATCCCCAGCAAAATCGTTGTTAGCCCCGCCGCCAACGGGCGGTTGGCCCTCCGAAGCAGTCTCATGATAAACAGTGCCCGATAAAACACTAACACGCTTTCTGTTCTGAAATTTTAGTGGTTTCCCCGGGAATCTCGACCTTCCCATTTTGATGAGCACGTAAACGAAGGACACTCAGTGCGTTCCCAGCGATTGCGAGGAAACTGGCGCGCATGCTCCGGCCCGCGCGCTGCGCAACGCCATTCCACTCATTGCAATGTACTGTACGACAAATATTGCGACGCACTTTTCATCACATGCACAGCTGGACATAAACACTACCACAACCCTTCATAGTATTTAGTAAAACGATCACTTTGCACTCTTTTTGCAAAAGACGGCATCATCCATCATTTTAATGATCGACTGGTCGTTAACGCTGTTAGGTCGTAACGCTTCCATTCAGCGAAGCGTCAGCAACGTTAGTAAAACAAAAGAGAATGTACACTTGATTCCATTGCACATACGGCGGCGGCGCGTCGCTAGCACTGAGATTGTGTTTTGTTCCATTTGATGTAACACAAATTCAACGTATCGACATTAATCGCTCGTAATTTAACAAAGATGGCTGAAGTTAACAATAGCGAACACGGGTGATTAACGAGACGAGGCGCGAGGCCGCGCGGTGTGAACGACACCTGGCTCTCAGAGGCCAGTTATGGATTTTGAACCAATCGCGACGTTAATTCGGACCGGTATGAAAACAAACATGTCGCTTGCTGCCTACCTCGCTCTCTATCTACATATCTAGGGAATGAATAGACGTTGCTCACTCACACATCCGTCACTCTTTACAATATGAATCCTATGCTTATTTTTTTAAATAGGTTTCGTACGTAAAGGAAATGTAATTTGTTAGTTTATTTCGGCAGTCTAAAGAATATAGACGAATTTTATTGTCCTGCTAGAGAATAAATGTTAGATAAGTTGTATTATTAATGTTGTACATAATCAAATCATTCAACTCGGAAAAATGTTATTGTCGGAGTCATCCATTAGTTAGAAAGAGAAATACGGCGGCAGCGCTAGCTATCTTTGTCTATCTCGTAGAGGGCTGGATGAGAGCGCGGACAAGGACGAGTCGGGTTCGGGTGGCAGGCAGATGTATTGACGAGGCGAGCTAGGCGCGAGTTTGGCTTTTTAAATTTACGGTGATCCAAGAAATTATTATATATTTATTGACAACCGCTTTCGCTATGTAGGTACCGGCGCGGTATAGTATCATTGTTAGAATTAGCTATAAAACTTTACACGTTGCACCTGTAAGGTGTCAAATTACAGTAAAAATTGTGTCCTATCTTGAACTTTGTTTAAGTACAGTACAGTCGGTATAATACATACAATACTGAATTTATGTGTGAATTCCTTTTTTTCGAAACTCTAAAATTCATTCACTTAAATCATGAACACGTCCAACATTCTAACAAGACTTTTGCATCCTTTGAAGTAAAGGATGAAAGGAAAGAATTAAAGTGTTTTTATTTCAAAATAATTACTGTGTACGACAGATCAAGTTGACTCTTTTTCTAATATTTGAAAAGTTAATTACATCTAACGAATGAGAATCTTATCTTAACGTATAGACGAAAAATTTTGTCAATTAAGTTTTCGGTACATATTCGCAATAAATAAAAATGTTCTAAGGCGATTACCATATTTTGTCATGAAAATAATAGGTATATAAACATAGTGATTTTTTATAGTTGTAGTTCTGTACTGTGATGTAAGGGATATTTTATATACGTGTTCCATTATACTACGTTACCTACAGGTAGTGTTTTTTTTTTAACTGAGACAGTATGGGGAAATCCGATACGACAGGAAATACAAGGAACCTGTTATGAGAAACACTGAGTCTTTTTTTGTGAGTTGTTCATAAAAATAAGTAAAATAATAATTGATTAATTTTTTTAGTGCTTTTCGACTAAATTTCATGTGAGTTAAGCACAAGTTGACCAAATTTAATAAAATGCTTTTTCGTACACAATGAATAGTATTTCTGCTGTCCGGATTGTTTCCTTCCGATACAATGAAATTATCTTTATAGGAAAAGGAGTCACATCAGTCAGCATTAAAAAAAGTTAATTTTATTCTGCGAGGCAGCAGTCCCGATTTTATTCTTCCAATACAATTAAATCATCCTTAAAAGAAACTGAATCTATATGCTTTGAATAGTCAATGTGATTCATTTTTAATGAAATTTCTTTTTTATTAAATTTTACCAACTTCTTCTGTCCAACTTTTTTCTTCCAATAGAATGAAATGATCCTTAGATGAAACTAAGTCGATCCACACTAAAAAAATTATAATTAATTTTATTCATTTTTATGGACAACTCATGCTTGATTAAAAAATTTAGTATTCCAAAATTGTTTCCACAAAAAAAGAATGGTACCTAACAGTTTCCCTACATCTCGTACAGTTACGGAGTTCCCCATACTGTGCCAGTTAAAAAAAACACACTGTACATTGTCTGGCTTTTATGTACTGATCGTCTGTACTGAAACTAAGATGGATAGTTTGTTTAATAAATATATAACCTGTGCTACTTTGCCGGAAATACAATGACTCACAAAATATTTAGAATTATTACGAAAGTGTCTAAACAAGGTGTAATCGTTAAGTGTGTCGCAGCGATTATTCTGCCGTCCGCTAACTAAAACGCGGTTAAACGACAAAATCATTTTTTGGGATATCATAAAAAACCATAACCCAATTTTAGAATACTGAATTTGTTTGATGATATTTCAGCTATGCATCGTTAGGGTAAGATCCGATAAATCGAACACATTAACTAATTTTAATTGTTTTTGAAAGAGTATTTTGTGCTCTTATGCTATTTAAAACGGATATTTGACGGATATTTGTCACTTAGCCACGTTTTAGTTAGTGGAGTAAATGTAAGAGATATCAGAAACCTTTAAACGTCGATATCGAAAGGACGTCACTTAATAAGTAAAACGACACACAATAAACTTTTTTTAAAAACAAATCTAGAAATATCTAATTTTAATGTTAATCGCTCCCATACATTTATTTACGACATTCGCAGATGCTTTAGTTAACTTACTTTTAAGAGGTAATAATAAGTTTATAGATAACGAAACTACTATAAATAAAGTAATAAAACTGAGTTTAATTGAATGAAAACAAAGTGTTTATTCATAAGTACACACACACACACACACACACACACACACACACACACACACACACA